TTTAATTAATTCTAATCAAAGCCTAAACCTAAAAATCTCATTGTGGTCATCTGTTCATAATCAAATCCATTTTTAGGTTACATTAGTTCACTTAGGCTCTCATTAGTTTAATTAACACCTTTAATTAACACCATTAATAAATCATAACCTTTTTTTCTTAACTAATTAGTTTTAGGATTTACTTCAAACCTCATTTTAAAATCCTAAAACTTCATTAGCATTATAACTCAAAGGTTAGACACTTAAATAAAACTTCACTAGCCATCTGATCTAGCCTAATTTTTAAATTATTGTGTTTGAGAAGGAGGAAGAAGGAGGAGGGAGAGTGAAAAAAGACATAGAGTGGGTAGAAGGCTTGAAGTAAGTAGTGGTGATTGATGTGAAATAGAGGAGACGAGGAGATTTGGGCAAAAAAGCAAGATTTTAAAAACTAGATAAGATCGGCCGGTTCAATCGGTTCAACCATAAACCAATTATTGGTCCGGTTCGATTGAGGCAGAAAAATCAGAGAGTAATTGAACCGGTTAAGGATCAAAAATTGGTCAACGAACTGGGAAAATCAGGAAAAGTGAATGGTTGACTGATCAATTGATTTGAGTGACTAGATCTAAAAAAGACAAAGGAAAACCGACAGCAAAACTAAAGAAGAGATGAAGAAAAGGAGTATAGTAAATCACTACCTTAATGCGCTTTTTCTCTTAACAAAACTACTAGATATGCCCTAAAGGTTAAAGCTTTCAATGGATTGAATGGAGATTTGTGGCATTCTATATAGTTTAATGGCAGTAACTTAGAGAAAGGGAGGAAAGAGCAAGACGACAGGATGGGAGGTTTTTTGCTTTTGTCTATTGATGTAGTACAAATAAACATTAAGTTGTTCCTCTCTCCACGTGAATGCATCATTCAACATTGATTTTATTATTATATTATATTATTATTTATATTAATTAATTAATTAATGTAATTAAAGATGGAAGCAGTGGGTGGGAATAGGGCCGTGCATGGGCAGGGTCGGGTAGGGTATACCCTTAACCTGATGCTCTGCCCTAAATGTCTTTGGGCCAAAAAAACATGCCGGAAGCCCAATCCTGCCCGAAAGATGCCCATTTATGAAGGGGTCGGGTGGGTAAGGTTGTTCAAAGATCGAGCATGTCGGGTTAGTGTCCAATTTATTATTCTTTTTTTGAGTAGGTAGAAACTTTTTATTGGACCAAAATATATTAAAATTGGGCTCAAATTAACCCCTAAAAAACCATTTCCAATAACAAAATCATGGACTAAAAAATCTTTTCTAGCAACAATATAACTAAAAATGAAAAAAATCAATAAACTTGGAAATGCCATACCCAAATATATATTGAAAAGAGAGAGAGATTTTCAAATGTAGTGACCATCAAAATGATTTGTAACATGAGGTTGATGCTTAGTCTTTGTGCATCTTCGAATTGTTGGAACATCAAAGAGTAAGAGATCAAGAGTAGTAAAGCAATCAAATCCAGAGCTTAGGAATCAAAGACCAGAGCATAAAACCATCAATTAGAGATCAAAGCAACATGGCCTCAACACAAGAAGAGATGAGACAGCCTCGACGATGAAAGACGAGCAACAGACTAAAGGTAGACATAATCTATGCAATACCTTCTCAGACAATAATGACCATAAGTTAATGGGCGGTTGAAGGTGAGAAGAAAGAGGTGAGGAGCTAAGACCATGATACGGAGTCGCTGAAATGTCACACATGACGGACGAAGTCGTTAAGCTAAGACGAATGTAAGAATGATGCTGTGAATCATGGGTGGTATTATGGTCGACGAGTGAGTAGTGTGGTGGTGTGATTGTACAAGATGCGAGTTCGAGTGTGTGCTGCAAGGAGAGGATAAAAGAGGAGAGGAGATAAGAAGAGAGAAAAGGAAGACGGCTAAATTGAGAAAAAGTTGAAGACTTGAAGCTAGGGTTTCAAGTTTCATTTCAAACTCCCACTTTCAGCCAACAAATGATGCCATTTTTTTTGAGAAAAATAATATATAGCCTTGGGCTAGGTAGGGCTAACTGGTTGGACACCCTAGCCCTAAACCCTACCCAACCCAAGGTTCGGGCTTAGCCCGACCATGCCTATTTGTTTTCGGGCAATTTTTTTGGGGCATGGGTAAGGCCAAAAACCATCGGGTCAAGTCAGCCATTTCGGACTTCTTGCACAGCCCTAGGTGGGAAGGCGAAGCGGGAGGGAGTTTTGTTTTTTAGCCAAATTATTGCTTGGGTATTGCAAAAGTTTGAATGAAAATCTACATTAATTATTAATATTATCAAATGCTATGTTTTTAACAAAACCACTCTTATTAATTTATACTATTTATGCTTATAAAAGTTGGGGGGAATGAAATAAATCTAGTAAATTATTACTCTTATAATTATAATAAAATTAAAAGAAAAAATTATTAATAATAAGAAAAATTATATATTTAAGTTACTAGTTATCAATTAAATCAAGATATGTGAATTTTTTTAAAATTATTTATTCTATAACAAATTATTTTTAATTGACATTATTAACGCATTAAAATTTATTTGTTTTAATTTTATTGGATAAAAGTATATTAAGTATATAAGACTAAGTATTTAAACTGTACCTTTTGTAAATTTTCTTTATCATTCGACAACCATTTTTATTTAAATATTACTTTTTATGATTATAAATGAATTTATTTTATGGTTTATATATATACATATATAAAAGTTATTTAAAAATATTAAATAAATCCTAACTAGTTCAGCCACGGTTCAACTATTAATCCTTAAATCAGTATATTGTTTAGTTCAATGACTGGCCTAATTTTTAAAACCTTACAAAAAAGAGATGGAAAGAAATTTTTAATATTTTATTTGTGATATTTGCAAAACTTTGAAAAAGAAATCTTTTTTTATATTTTTTTGTTTAAAACTATCTTAAATTTGTATTTCTTTATATTTTTAATTAATTAAATATATTTTTGTTAAAATATAATTTACATTTATGTGAAATTGTCATTAGAGTTCGAAAGAGTAATAATATTCATTTGAACAATATAAATTAAACTTATACAACATTGAATTAAAATAAATTCTTAAAAAATTACCGCCAAGCTCAGATATGTAATTTGTACGTACTTAAAAATTAATTTTTTAAAAAATTAATTATTTAATATTTAAATAATATCCTGCCCCCTTAGTCAAAAGTCTTGACTCTCTCACTACTAGTAATGAGGGTGGGCTAAATTATACAGTATGAAAATTCTGGTTTACCTAATCTTATTGAATTGGCAAAACATAAAACTAGTGTCTTGATTTATATCAATAAAATGTTTTATTTATAATAGATTTGATCATGATTTAATTACAATTTTTTCTATTAAACCTTAAACCAATACTTTGATTGAAGTGTTTAGATTTCAATTGAAAAAAAAATAATTATAGAAAAAATTGATTATTAAAATGTGATGAAGCTTAAATAAATTTTAAAAAATTAATTTTGATAAATTGAAGATGTTTGAATGATTTTTTAAAAATTAATTTTGAATGTGTAAATAAATAATATAAAAAAAGGAGTTAAATGGAGTTTTACAAATTGAGAAAATTTCAACTTTTTCAAAATAAAGTTTCACAAGTCAAATGAAATTTTATAAAATAAGGGTGTTTGGATAAATTTGTGTAAAATCATGATTTTCATTCCAGAGTTGATTCCCAAAGAGCATGCACACAGGAGCCGATTTTTATTCCCCTGGTAAATTGTCCCGTTTTGTTTTCTGCTTCTTTTTATCCATGCTTTTGTTGTTGGTTCACATTCTTTCTGCAAATGTCGTGAGCCACGCTTTGTACGTCCATCGTGTTTCACTCGTGTCTTGTGGATTCCGTGTTCAATCCAATTTGAGCTCGTGATTTACTATCAGTTCATAACAATCAAAGTAGGATTAACCCATTAAATTAATTACCTGATGATAATATCAATTCCACAATATTTACTGTCAGTTCCCTGGATTGATGAGCTCTCCCTTCAGTGTTTGGTTGTGATGGAAGAAACAACAAAAATGCAAATTTCCAGCAATAGTGGATTTTATGGCCTTTCTCATTTTATATATATATATATATATATATTAAATAGTTCTTTTTTTCTCTCACTCTCATTTTTCTTACCAAACATGCTTTAAAACATGGTTTTAATGGAAAATGATTTTCTCCTCTTTCTTTTCATCTTCTTCCTTTTTATCTTTCTATTTTTAACCATTAAATTAAGATTATTAGACGATTAAGATTTAATTTTTTTATAATATTTTTTAATTTTTTATATTAAGTTTTAACAATTCAAATTTTATTATAAAAATTAATAATATTAGCTTTTTATATTTTATCAATTTAAAACCTAACAGTTTACTCCCTCCGTTTAAAAATATATAACATTTTTAATCAAATCTCACCCTAATAAAGTATTTACTTATTTTTAAATTAACCCTATTTATTTTATATTTATCCTTATTAAATGCCCAACAATAAATATAAAGTCATTATCAATAGAAGTACTTTTGAAAAAAAAAACAACGATTACACCTCACCAGACTAAAAATATTTTATATTTTTTAATATTAAACTTTTTAAAAAATGTTTTATATTTTTGGACGGAGAAAGTATATTTTTTTAATAATTTAATATTTTTATAAAAAATCAAATTTAAACAGTATAATTTTTTTGTTAGTAGGTAGAAAAGTAAAATAAAAGAGGTTAGAGAGGAGCGGAAGCAGTACGAACTGCTGCCCATCCACACATAGTCAATTTTCTTTTCACTGCTATTTTTATTTCCACTCCAATCCGGTACTAAGCAAACGAGACGCTGGAGTTAACGCACATCCAAAATCCATTCTTGATCCATTTTCTAAGCCTGTAGACTTCACGTTTCCAACCTCAACAGTCAGGCTTCCCTCATACTCGTCGAGCCTTCTTCACGCTGCAAAGCTTTTGCTTATCTGTGAAGCCTAATTCCTATTTTGGAATCGGATTCTATCGCTACCGATCAAGCCAAATCCATAGAAAAAACAAATCGAGACAAAAAACAGAGAGCATCTGATTCTCCATTCTTTGTCCCTGATTACACGGCTTCGCTTTCTGTATTCTAGGTATTTCGCTTCTCTTGCTTTCTTGTCTATAATCTCGGTGTTTCTGGACTAATCAGACTCAAAACCTAGGTTTTCATTCAAATTTTGTGAGAAATTTTATAGTTGAAGATGCGATGGGCAACGTCAATGTTAAAAAGCGTAACGCTCAATTTTCCAGAAATGTTAAAGCGGAACGCAGAAGTAGTAGCTCATCCGACCTAACTAACCGATCGGTGCCTCAGCTTCCACGACCGCAGCAGCGGCAGGAGCAGCCGCCGCCGCCGCCGCCGATGATGATGCAGAGGAAATCGAGTAAAAATAACCGATCTTCGGGAGAAAGCTCCGTCGTAGCGGGGAAGGAATCTGCGAAGAAGAAATATGCTTTGATTCCCGATAACTTCACTACCCTAGAGCAGGTTTGAATTTTGATTCAGTTTCTCTAAAAAATTTCGTTTTGTCTGGTTGTTACTTTTTCTTTTATTTTTGGGGTGAAATTGTCTGGTTGTTGTTTGTTTTGTATTGGAAATATTTTGGTTTTGTTGCTCATACAAAAATAATAAAAAATTAAAACTAGTAAGTAATAATTAAAAAATATAATGAGTATGCATATTCCGAAAAAATCCTTTCTTTCACGCGAGTGAGTAGGTTTTTTGGAATGTTTTAATAATTTTCTTTTCTTTGTTTACACAGAGTTACTTTTATTTTCAAAACGATGAATTTCTCAATATTTCATAAACTTACTAAGCACGATGAAATTATTATTGGGCTTTGAAATTATTGTGCTAAAAAGTAAGTGAATTTTTAAAACAATAAATTCGATAATAAAGATTGCTATATATGACTCTCTTGGTTCTCATATTATTATGAATAAGGTAATAATAATTTTATAATGACCTATTTATTTTTTAATTAAATTATTATTATAACCCATTTAAGTTTTTCAATCTGAGTCAAGTTGAAAATTAATTTACCTTAATTATACACAATAAATGATTTTTTACAAAATAAAAAATGGTTATACTATAATTTAATTAAACTTAAAGCTTTAATATTATTTGCTTGGAAAATATTGTTGGAGGTGGAGCAGCTGCGTTGATGCAGCTGACTCAAATGTGTGTGTGTGTGTGTGTTTTTTTTTTTTTGAAAGGTGTTGTCTGCCACTGGGCCAGTGTCTTAGATATTGGTTAGACGAAGACTTTAAAGTCAAGTTGCTTTCGATCCTGTGATGAGGGCTCTTCTTTCAATGTGATTGCAAAATTTAAAATTCAAATTCGATTGCTGGTTCCTTTTTTGGCCAGATGGTACGCTGTAATGAATTTAAATAAATTCCATGAAAATTTATCTCCAAAACTATTAGCATATGTTCATGTAAGTATGGAAGTTTCATTGAACATTTTTCTGAAGAATAATTTTGAAAACCTTAATTGGACCTTATTAAATTATAATTAAAATATTCATTGAGGTCTTTTTATCAACATGATAATCTCTATGTTAATCGAATAAAAGTCAATTTTTTTTTTGGTGAATAAGATATGACTGGAATAATTAACTAGAAACTAGAAGTAGCATAAAATATTAGGCAAGTGGAAAATGGCGTGATCACACGTGTTGTGTAGTTTACAGCGTGATCCTCGTGTTGTGTAGGCCACATACCATATAAAAAAAAAAAAAACCAGAGGCTGCTTACCATGAAAACGACCGTGGCTTGTGTTTTTTGTCTTTGAGATGCATGTTTCGGTTTGAATGATGAATTTTTAATCTAGATGTGGTCTAATGTTTATCACTTCTAAGCTTAAAAATTCAATTTCATAAGCCAGAGTGATTTTGGCTCCCCAGGAAAACAGAAAAAAAGTCAATTTAGGTTGTATTTGGATTTCAGTTGAGTATGATTGATCATTGAAAAACTTGCTTAGTGTGATTGATTTAAAATATAATTGATTATATTATGTGGTGCATAATTGATTTATAAAATTGATTAATGATATTGATTTTAATCAAACCTGAAAAGTAAAATTGAAAATAAGGTAAAATCATATTTTTGTAAAAATATATCAAAATACTCATGATATATGTTAAAATTAATTATAAATTTAAAATCATGTTTTCAAAAAAAAATCAAAATACCTATTATATATGTCAAAATTAATTATCAACTTAAAATCATGAATTTTTTAAAAATATTCAAACATCTCATACTTGTCAAAATTAATTATGAACTTGAAATTATGGTTATTTCATGAGCTACTATTATTTGTTTTTTAATTCAATTTTTCAATTATACATTTCTAAAATTTATTCAAAAATCATGTAAATTATTTTACAAATTATATTTTTCTGGTTTATAATTAATTTTGACATAATAAGGGCTGTTTGTAAATTTTTAAGGAAATCATAATTTTGGATTTATAATTATTTTTAGCATGTGCAATAAGTATTTGGATTTTTTTAAAAAATATAATTTTAAATTTATAATTGATTTTACATAAGTGTTTGAGCAAGTTTTGTCAAAAAGGTGGTTTCCATGCAATTAATTAATTGTGAACGAAATCCAAGCAGGCACTTAATCGTACTCTCTATTGAAGAGCTCAACTCATTGGAACAATTGATAAATCAATAGCTATCTGTTAAAACATCGGAAAGGTGCTCTAGGATTTATAGATGCAAGTAAAACAGAGTACCAACTTTGAGAGAAGAAAAATTTAGCAATCAATGTATCAAAATTACACCTTTCAAAACTCCAGAATGTCAAGAGATGAGCGAGTCCGCGAAACTGCATACCACTATCTCTCTAGCCTCTTCCAGTTTCTTCTTCATCTCCAAGAGCTCCTCCAGATTGTTACACCCTTCCACATTAATCGCCTCCACATGTTCTTTCAAATTTACGTTAGTGGAGGCCGAGTCAAAAACAGAGGACTCCGTCACACAGCTCCCGGCTGTGCTGCTGGCGCCGGTGGTTGTCACAGTCATCGACGACGCTGCCGCCGCGGAGCTGTGAAGGAATTGGTCAATGATGGGATCGAAGGAAGGGAAGCCATGGGCGTAGGATCTTCCAGTAGGAGACAAGACCAGCACCGCAATGAGGGACCCAGAGATTTTGTGGTATTGCTGAGCTTTCTTGATCAGGCCCTTGCGGCGCTTCGAGAAGCAAACATACCTTGCTGATTTGTTTTCAATTTTCTTGATCTCCGTGTTCCGCTTGCCGGCTCCCATGGCGGCGGCGGAGGAGAAAATGATTCCCTGGTATCGGGAGGATGAGAACTGTGAAGTGAAAAAACGCAATGGTGTAGTTTTCCTGCGAAGATGGCGGTGGCGGGAATGAAGCTTAATTACTCAGGTAAGAAGCGAAAGGAAAGTAGAAAGTAAGAAGTGATTTAGCGGTGCTCCATTTCCTTCTCATAAATGATAAACCCCGTTACTTGCGCGTAAATCTCGCCCCTAACGGCTATATTTCTATCCCAGTTTAGGAAATTCTAATCGAATTCAGTTGGGCATTTATTTCCTGATTGTTTAGTAAATATTTAATTTGATACGAGTCAGATCAACAAAGTTATTCCAATACCCAATTACCCAGACCCCCCTAAAAAAAAAAAAAAGATCACCCGTATCGGATGATACCTATGCAATTTTTTTGGGGCAAGGAATGCTTATACATTTTTAATTCTAAACAATCTACTATTACCATCTGCCAAAGAACAATGCGCATCGCGCAATTTGTTTCTACAGCTTCTCAATCAGTTTTGAGTGAACACATTATTATATAGAATGGTTTAATATATAGAATGGTAGTCCCTAATCCCTATCCCTAGTCAATATACATGCTTGTCCCAAAAGCTGTCCTCTGTCTATCAACGCAGGGTCATTTCAAGAATTTCATGTTAGTACAACATCAATAACAAACCTTATCCCACTAGATGGAGTTGGCTTCATGGATTGTACGACATTATTGTGCTTTATCATGAGCCAAGCTTTTAAAAATAGTGTTAATTAAAAGGTTTTGTTTAACAACTTTTATAAGTGTTTTTTTGGCTTTCCTCTATCTCTTTTTATAAGACCAAGATTATTTGTTCTCCTCTCTTCACTGGTGCCTTCTGTAGCTTTCTCAATGCATGTCCAAACTATCTCCAATTGTTTTCTACCATTTTTCCTTGAAAAGATGCCACATCAACTTTTTATGATATATGCTCATTTCAAATTTTATTTTTTCGTGTATGCTCACACATTCATTTGAATATTCTCATTTATGTTACTCTAATTTTATGCTCTTGCTATATTTATAAAGCCCAAGATTCATCCCCATATAACGTGACTAATCTTGTAACAGTTCGATAAAACTTTCCTTTAAGTTTATTATATACTTTTCAATCACAAATAATTGTTTTAGCGTTTCTCCAATTAAGTTACCCAACTTGTATCCTATGTACAATATTCCCATCATGTTAAATAACAGCTCCCAAATATATAAACTATATCATTTGCAAAAAGCATGTGCTTAGGAATTTTCTGTTGAATATGCTCAGTCAAAATATTGAAAATCAGGTTAAACAAATAAGGAATCAAAGATGATCCTTGATGCAGTTTAATCCTTATAGGAAAGCCTTTTTGTTTTACTACCAGATGTTTTGATATTACTTGTTGCCCCCTCACGTATATCTCATATAGCTTTAATGTAGGCAACTCGGACTCTTTTTGTTTTCAAGGCTTTTCAAAGTACTTTTCTAGAAACACGGTCATATGCTTTTTTCAAATCAATAAAAATCATGGGTAAATTTTTACCTTTGTTTTGATACTTTTTCATTAATTCTCTTAGTGGATAAATCGTTTTTGTAGTCGCTTTACCTAGCATGAAGCTAAATTGATTCTTATAGCCAATCTCAACCTATGTTTAATCACTTTTTTCTAGAATTTCATTGTATGACTTATAAATTTAGTTCTTCTGTAGTTTATATAATTCTGAATCTCTTCTTTATTTTTGTAAATAGGAACTAAGGTGCTTCTCTTCCATTCATCAAGCAATTTTTTGGATCATAAGATCTCATTAAATAGTGTAATCAGCCACAACACTTTCATAAGGATACAATCAGGTCCATTGGTTTTACCATTTGCCATTTTTCATTTTTTTAAGAGCTTCCTTTACCTCACTATCATATATCCTTGGATAGAATGACGGATTATGTTCTCTTTTACAAGTTACTAACTCTTCTAAGTTATTAGACGAGCCCCCTCCATCATTAAAAAGTCCATAAAAGTAGGTCTTTCATATGTCTTTAATATCACCACCTGTAACCAAAACTCTTTCTTTTTCATTCTTTATGTACCTTACTTATTCTAGATCTTTTGATTTTCTTTCTCCACTCTTAGTAATCTTATAAATTTTTTGTTCTCTATCCTTTATCCCAAAACCATTGTAAAACTCTTTAAATGCTTTAAAATGAGTTTCGCTCATAGCTTTTTTAGTTTTCTTCTTAGCTGTATGATAACTTTATCATTTTTTTAGCATTATTGCACAAATGGATGGCTTTAAAACACTTTTTCTTATGTTTTGACTTTTTCCTGTATGGTCTCATACCACTACCAAGACTTCTCATTTCTCGAACCAAAACCTTTTGATTCTTCCAAAACTTCTTAGCCATATTCTCTTATAAGATGCTAGCACTTTCCTGAAGTTCCTAAATTCCTTTGGCCAAAAGATTTGGTTTGAAAATTTTTTGCTTCTCACCTTTTAACTGCACCACCTAAGCCTTGAGTATATTATGTGTTGGCACTTTTGATTTTTACTCTTAACATGCACATCAAAGACAAGGACCTTATGTTGTGTTGTTACGCCATTCCCTGGAATCACCTTACAATTTAACCAAGTCTTCTATCTATGTTCTTGACATAAAAGAAATCAATCTATAATCTTGAGGCTTTATTTTTGTAACTGATGAGATGTTTATCCCTTTTCTTGGAGCAAGTGTTGGCAATCTTGAAATCATAAAAGGAACTCAAGAATAGATTGTCCTTTATTATTTAGCTCCCCAAAATCAAAACTACCATGCACCCTCACATAATTACCTCCCTTCCTCCTGACATGACCATTAAAGTCTCCTCCAATAAAGATTTTTCACTTTGTGGTATGCTTTGAATCAACCCTTCTAAGTCTTTCCAAAACAATTTCTTAAGATCGGTTTCTGCCCTAACTTGAGGTGCATAAATGCTAATAATATTGACAGTCTCATGTCCAACGATCATTTTTAAGGAAATAATTCTGTCCTTGATTTTGTTTATTTCTACGACATTCTTCTTCCATTCCTTATTAACAGTGATATTGACCCCATTCTGTGTGCTTATGTTTCTTGTATATCAAAGTTTGAAACCATTAGTATCCATGGCTTGATCGGTTTATTTAGTTTCCTACAGGCACAAAATATTAATTCTTCTACGAATCCCAACTCCTACTACCACTGTAGATTTATAAGTTAAGGTCTCAGTGTTCCAAGTACCAAATATGATCTTGCTCATATGAACTAACTTTTTTAGTTGTGCTAGTCCAGGAGAACGAGGTGGTTTTTGCTCATTTAACACTACATTTGGGTGCCGATGCAGTGGTTTTAACTCACTTGTCATTGCACTTGAGCCTTACAGCGTGTTACTTATTGGCACGAAAGCATCTATTGTCCATATGCATGTGAAATTCAACAAAGTTTTATATTGGCTATTGAGAGCCTAATACAACCCTCCTCCTTTATCCGGGCTTGGAACCAACTATAACGTCAATGGAGTTTCAAGAATTTTAATGTCAGTAAAATGAATTTTCTGAATCATGTCATGTACGATAAATTAGAGTAATTTATATATTCATCAGTGAATTTTGTGTACAATAAAAAGATAAAGGAAGTATTTATGAGCAAATTCTAAACTATTGGCATATATGGATTCCACAGTAAACCTGAAATTTCAGCGGCCTTCTCTTTTATACAGGTTACTGCAGCCTTGAGGAAAGAAGGTTTGGAATCTTCAAATCTCATCCTTGGAATTGATTTCACTAAGAGCAACGAGTGGACTGGTAAGTGGCAATACATCACGCGCATGGTCACGCACTATATATATATATATATCCTGATGGTTCCGTGGCCATGATTGTGGACTTAAACTGGCATGGATATGGTTTCTGGTTTGATAAAAGAAATATGGGTTTAAATTACGCATTACCTTTTAAAATGATTTATCTTTCATTGCTCACCTCAGAAGCCAATGCATCCATGTTTTTATTAAAGGCAAAATGTCATTCAATAATAGAAGCCTGCATGCTATTGGAGCAACACCCAACCCCTACGAGAAGGCCATCTCTATTATTGGCAAGACCTTGGCACCCTTCGATGATGACAATTTAATTCCATGTTTTGGCTTTGGTGATGGTAAGTTCCAATCCTTGAGGAAGTCCACGGATCAAAGGAAATTTCATTCAGATTTAACTTCTGGTTTAATTATCATTCTTTTGCAGTTACCACCCATGATCAAGAAGTGTTTAGCTTTCACAGTGATCACTCATCCTGTCATGGTTTTGAGGAAGTCCTGGCTTGCTACCAAAAAATAGTTCCGAACCTGAAACTTTCAGGTTTTTTCATCTGCTTGTTCAAATATGATGTGACCTTAATCTTTAGCTTAAAAATCATGGCTGAAAGATATTTGGATGCAATTTTTGTTTTGAAGGGCCTACTTCTTATGGTCCGGTGATTGAGGCTGCAATAGATATAGTTGAGAAAAATCGTGGCCAATTCCATGTGTTGGTTATAATTGCAGATGGCCAGGTTTCCCAGGCTACCTCTATATATCTGAGCTGGTGAATGTCTGTCGCAAATCTTATTTGCTTGTTTTGGTTTAATATGAAGGTTACAAGAAGTGTCAACTGTGATGACAAAGAACTCAGTCCTCAAGAACAGAAGACCATCCAAGCTATTGTTGATGCAAGGTAGAAATAGAAAATTGATAAGGAGTTTCAAAAATCACTTTAGCTTAAAAGTTTATGTTGCTAACAAAAATTTTGTGAATAGTTTTATTGTCATCTCTGGGTTTAAAGCAGGCATGGCCATTTTGGCTTGGCCTGCTCCAAACCCACTTGTTTCAGCTTGATTGGGCTTTGTAAGTTAACAGGTAACTGTTAGTGTTAACTACTGAAACAAACTTAGAGACACGCACACACATCTTGCGCATGTAAATGCCTCTGGACATATGCATATGTTCATATTAAATTCTTGAATTCTGTTTTTGGTTTTTAATCAGCTCATTAGACCTTTTATTTATTGATTTGTTTTGTAGTTTATATGCTTCTTGCTCACTAATCTTTTATCAGTTTGTTTAATCCATTCCATGCTCTGTACCTACCTTGAACCCACAGGTTTGGGTTTGGGGAAAGACGACGTTCATGAGGGTAAGGGGTGAGAATGGGCAGCTTATAAGTGAATATAGTGGGGATATATAGCTGGAAAGAGAGAGGGGGGGGGGTGGGGGCACTATCCTGATCTGCTTCATTGTCATCCTTATCTTGAAGGGTGGATTATGTTAGAAACGACTTGAACTCAATCTGGTGATTTAAGGCTCATGAAAAATTTCATAGTCTCCAACAATTAGATAATGTAACCCTGAATGCTTACGTAATTGTTTTGATACCCTTAAATTTACAACTCATTGGAAGTTCTCATCTCGTAGCTGCACCAGAGCGACGATTCCAATGTAAAATTGAATTATAAAAACTTGCAGGTGCTTGATTAAATAGTAATACTGAAATGGTTCAGAGAAAAAGGTGAAAAGATATTCTGTATCGAGTTGAGAATAATGCTTGTCGTCTTGGTATTTATACAGATACAGACTAATTCTCCAACTAATTGCAGTTACATGTAACAATAAGTAAACATTCTAACTAAAGTGTAACAACTCTGAAGCAACCTACGTTACTTCCCCTGTTAAATCGTGATTTCTCCTTTCTAACTGATCATTTCTATTGCCAGTTCATATCCACTTTCGATTATTCTTGTTGGAGTTGGTGATGGACCTTGGGAAGACATGAGAAAGTTTGATGACAAGATACCTGCACGTGATTTTGATAATTTTCAGGTATAGCACAATGATGCTCAGAAATTTTGGATGGCGATACCTTACCTATTTGCATTGTTACCATCACCATCACTTGCTTACGTAGCATATTTCTTCTATGCAGTTTGTTAATTTCACTGATATTATGTCTAAAAATTCAAGCCCCTCTCAGAAAGAAGCAGCTTTTGCTTTGGCTGCTCTTATGGAGATACCGTTCCAGTATAAAGCAGCTATTGAACTTGGAATACTTGGGTAGGATTCGTATGCACTACTTAATTTAACTAGTTGGAAAGCGAAAAGAAAGTATAATATGCTGTGACTCTAGTCTGGTGACAGTTTTCATTGAAGCAACCTTGTTTCCTCTGTCGTGACCATTTGATTGAATTTGCCGTTTGACGATTGACTTTTTTCTTCTTTTCAATGGATAAAAGCCGTGTAACAGGAAGGGCAAAGAAAATAATTCCACGACCTCCTCCAGTTCCTTATTCTCGACCTGCACCACCGGCTCGTGTACCGAGTGATATACACTCATCAACAGATGATGAGCGAAATCAGCAGGTATATGAGACTAAAACCAAGAGTGCTGTTGTATGTTTGTTTTAATGGCTGCCTGATAATTTAAACTTACTGCACTAAAAATATGTTAAAACTTAACGAGCAAGTAATTGCTATACACTACTGCTTGCTTTGCTGACAAGTTTGAGGTTGTCTTCTGATAATTCTGATATTTATAGGTCTGCCCTATCTGCCTGACAAATGCAAAGGACTTGGCCTTTGGGTGTGGGCACATGGTGAGCTTCACTGAATTCAAGGTCTCCTTTCTCGTCTTTTCAGTCAGTTTCATGCGTTTTAACAATTCTTCAAAATGCAGACTTGCAGAGATTGTGGAGCCAGGTTAACCAACTGTCCCATTTGCCGAGAGCGGATCACTTCTCGTCTCAGGGTTTTCACCGGGTGATCATACGTGCAAGGGGAAGGGTATTTTTTTTTAACAGAGAACTAGAACTTGATATTCTTACCTTCAAAGTTTGATTGATCGGTCGAATTTATTAAATTAAACTGAAAATCTTACTATGTATCTTAAGGTGAACAGCTCAGGGGTTCATGTTTATGCACATTAACTAAAGTCAGAGTGTTGCTTCCTGATGGTTGAAGAATGGACCGGGATTTGCACGAGACTACTGTAATGATGGTGACTTGGATTTGTGGAAGATTTTATTTGTTTCATGTTGAGTGTTTTGAAGTTGTTTATAAGTTATAGCCATCGTGTAAATACCGTACACTTTCTTCTTTGATACCAACATGCTTTGAAGAACGTTGTGATATTTCCAAGGGCCAAGAGCTGCTTGCTTAGACTGAGGAATTGTGAAAAGCTCCTTGCGATCCATTTCAATAATTACTGGTTTAGGAGTGAAATCTCTCACAACTGAAACAGCTTTATCACGGGCTTTTAGCTCTGCCAAAGAACTACAGTCAGCAGTCACTTGTTCAAAGCAACCTTTCAGGAAACAACCTTTGTGATCCCTACAGATTAATCCAATGCCAGCACGAACAGATTTAGAAGAGAAGGCCCCATCATAATTTATCTTTATGGAATTATGATCTGGAGGCTTCCACTTAGGATAAATGGCAGTGTCAATACTTGGAGCAATATGATCCTTATAATTATGTTTCCAAAATTCAGATATTGCTGCATCAGTACAGCAAATAATTTTTGAAGGATTCAATTCCGCTGCTGAAAGCACATTAGTACGGCACGTTTTCCAAATATTCTGGGAAATGCGAGCGACATAGGCTTTGCCGAGGTCATGCTGGACCTACAAAGAAAATGAGAGCGCTAGTGGTGAAAGGGCTGGATACCTCAATGATCCATCCTGAACGACAGTGAACAGCCAAACCAGACTTTGTGTGTCCACTAACAACCCAAAAACGTGTGCTCAATCGACTCAGGGACAAGTTTGTGGGGTTGGGAGAACATTTCCTAGAAAAGAGTGCTTCCTTAGTGGCCAGAGCTTTATGTAGAAAGTGTTTGATCTTTGGGTGAATCGTAATCTTCCAAATATCAGTCCAAAAATAGTCTGGCCCTCTAACACTGTAGGATGCACCCTGTGGAAGATTAATCGATAACCATATTTTGCAGTATAAATACCATTCTTAGTTTCTGACCAGGCCGCAGAGCAGGGATGATTCATTGTCATCCGCGGGAGATACCACTTGCCATCAGATATTAAATCTGCTACTTTCAGATTAGAGTCCACATCTACCACATTCACTCATTCAGTTTTTCAGGAAGGAATTTTTGGCATTCCAGGGATCCAAGGGACCATAGTCGGATATTCGTGCCATCTCCAACTTTCCAGCAAGTGTCTTTCAGCAGCACAACGGTCTAAGGAGTAGATTTCACTGACAGTAAATAATAACTTTACTTTTAATTATCAACAACTATAAATTTGAAATTAACTACTCCTCTCCATAAAGTCAATTTCAAGTTTTTTGAATGCAAGCAAAGTTGTTAATAATGGAAAGCAGAGCATGTATTACGAGATCGCGGATAAGCTAAGCATCTGATGAATATTTCTTATTCTAAAGTACCCTCTCTAATTTTAAATATAAGCAAGTTTTATTCAATTCACACAGTTTAATAAAGTTGATTAATCCTTCACTTTTTTTTCTAATTTAATGATATTATTATTTAATAAAGAGCAATTAAGGAAATATATTATAAATGTTTCTTGAAAATTGCTGTTTTGCTTATAAAAAAAAAAAGAAACCATATGAAAATTTTGTTTTTATTTTAAGATAAAGGGAATATTATACGCTATCATTGGTATTAGATTAAAATACTTTGACCTCCCATCTATTTTACTTTAATTATACGTACATCTCTTCTATGTATCTTATGGTGAACAGCTTGGACTTGGAGGGAAGCCTCCTTCACACCTCTATTGAGGAGGTGCATTTTCTGAATTGTTTAGATTTGATCTGGACAATCTACATTAAATGTACCTTCTTATTTTTTAAAATAAAAAATTTGAATTATTTTTTTAAAAAAATTGATAAATCTGTTCACCAATTTAGATAGTCCAAATTTAATATAAATAACCCATGTTTAATATTAAAAATTTATAAAAGTCATAAATTTTTTTTAATATTAAACATGTATTGTCCAGAATATATACTGATAGTCAATTTATAAAAGTTTTGATAATAAAAGTGAATCATTTTTATTAAATCTGAACTATTCAAACTGGTGAATAGATTAATTAATCTTTTTTTACAATTTATTCAAATTTTTTATTTTGAAAAATATAAAATAAATAATAAATAATAAATAATATATTAAATTTGGACAATTCAAATCATACACCTTTTAAGAGGAGATGCAGAGGAGGGAAGCCAACTCCGAACCGTCCAAGGGGTCATGTTTATGCACATTAACTAAAGTCATAGAGTATTGCTTCCTGATGATTGAAGGATGAACCTGGATTTGTATGGCACTGCTGTGATGATGGTGACATGGATTGACATTATTTTCATGGAACATTATAACAATCGTGTAAGTACAGTGCTCTTTCTTCTTTGTTGCCGGTCACTCTTGTGGTAAAGATAATTGCTTGGTGAGAATTGACATTCAAATCCCAAGGAAATGCTCTAATGCCAGTGAAGTCCTGCAAAACGGTAAAACTTAGCCATCATCATTTATAGTGATTTTAATGCCAGCGTGGTTTGAAAATTTGGTTAATCTGGTGGAAAGATCGAACGGAAATGTTCTGATGCCAATAGTCTCACAAAACTCGCCATCTACAATACACAAAACATAGCCATCATTTATTGTAATAAATGCCAACGTGGTTTGAAAAATTTTGGTACGGAAAGATAGTAATTGCTTGGGAGAATGACTTTCAAATCCCATGGAAATGCTCTTATTAAATGCCAGTAGAGTTCTAGGATTTTAAATAGAATAATTTTTTTTAAATACATTCGCATAAAAGCCCTTCGCCTTTGTTTTTTTAAAAATAAAGATGACATTCCTCCATTGGCATTGCTTGTTGAGCTATCAAGAGCATGAGTTTTGAAGAAATCCATATTCATTGCATGATAACAACAATTTAATTTAATTAAATACTTATAAAAAATTTTATCATAAAAAATTGATAAAGTATCAAATCTTAAAATTTTGAAAGAAATAATAAATGTAAGGAGTGTTTTAAATTTTTAAAAACAAACATATTAATAATTTTTAAGTATTGATAAAATTCAATAACTATAATCAAAATTTTAGCAATCAATCCTTAAATTATTGATAAAGAAGTGACCTAATCAAAACGCTTTGTTTTTAATAACCTGGCCATGATTATAGAGCCGTGCAAATGTAACAGTACTGGGGAATAAATTTTAAGATTTCGAGTCATTATTCGAGAGTGGAAAATTTTGCTTTTGATAATTAAAAACTAAAAGTTTGAATTTAACGATTGCCATTCAACAAAATCAATTTTACAATTTGACTCCTTGTTCATGAGTAACACTCTCAACTAAAAACTGAATAGCAGGTAACCTGTTCAAAAATGCAATTAAATCTCACTCATAAATAAAATAATTATTTATTTTTAAATTAATGCTATCTTTTCATATTTATTCTTATATAATAAAATATTTCACTGTAAAATTAATATAAAGTGATTATTTAATAAAGAAACTTTAAAAAAAAGGCAATAATGATACATTAAAATATTAAAAATACATTATATTTTTAACATTTAATCACTCAAAAACTACCTTATTTTTTTAACAGGGGCAGTATAATATTAGAAATAACAATTTTACGTTTAATTATTAACACCTACATTCTAGAAGATTTAGTTTGACCGTGGCTTTTCAAAAAGTCAATTTTGAGATTTGAGTCATTATCCATGAGTAAATTCGAATTGAATAACAAGTAAATTATGAGAAATAACAACTTAATTTACTTTTATTTATTAACATCTAAAGTTTGAAATTAACTTTCACAAAATCAATTTTAAGATTTGAGTTATTATCCGTGAGCAACTTGAAACTAGATAACAAGCATACTATAAAGAAATAATAACTTTAATTTTTTTTAAGTATAAGGAGAAGATTTCACTGACAATAAAGAATAACTTTACTTTTAATTATCAACAACTATAATTTTGAAATTAACAATTTCTCTCCATAAGGTAATTTCAGGTTTTTTGAATTGAAAGCAAAGTATTTCATAATTGAAAGCAGAGATTTATTATGAGATCGCGGATAAGCTAGGCATCTGGATGAATATTTCTTATTCTAAAGTAACCCCTCCACTTTTAAATATAAGAAAATTTTATTCAATTTACTTAGTTTAAAAAAATTAATTAATCAATATAATTATATATGAAATTGAAAAGTTTGAACTAAACTGTCCTTGTGGTTAATCCTTCATTTTTTCCAATTTAATAATATTATTATTTAATAAAGAGTAATTAAGGAAAGATATCATAAATGCTTCTTGAAAATTATTGTTTTACTTACTCCTTTCGTTCAAAAATATAAAGCATTTTTTAAAGAGTTGGATGTTTAAAAATGTAAGGTATTTTTATTCTTTCGAGATGTAATCATTACCCTTTTTTTTCAAATATACTCTTATTGATAATGACTTTATATTTATTGTAGGGTGTTTAATAGGAATAAACATGAAAAAAATAATGTTAGTTTAAAAGTAGGTAACTATTTTATTAGGAGATGAGATTCAATTAAAAATGCTTTACATTTTTGAACGAAGGGAGTATAAAAAAAGAAATCATATGACAATTTTGCTTATATCTCAAAGTGAAGGGAATGTTATGCATCATCATCATTGTAATTATTAGAATAAAATACTTTGACCTTCTTTCTATTTTACCTTCATTACAAATACATCTCTTTTATTTTTGAAATATTCATGAACATCCTTTAATATAAATAGTTACAAAACATAAATATCTTTTGTATTTTTAAAATTTTATTTTCATATATTCAATCATTAATTGATCGTTTACATTGAAAAACATGTATTGGACTAAATACCTCCATTTTAAATATAAATATTGTCTAAAAATTACTCAAATTATCCAAAAAATTAATGCATATATATGTACACACACACTTTTTATTTATGTTTTTTTAGAGTATTATTATAGGTGAACTGAAGTCAACATCTTGCAATTCCTCTGAGATCAACAATATTTTCCATGGAAATAGTCACCATCCACTGTGACGAAATCAAATTGCCCCTTAAGTTCTTTTTATCCGCAATAATCGGTTTTAGACTTTCAAGTACTTAATTAAATATAATTAGGAACATAAATATAAATTAATTATCTAAACAAAACATTAAAAGAGAAGTAGCTGCGGGATGAATTGAAAACAACGTAAATTTCGAGTATCATGGAATAATAATTAAATTGAACCCCCATGACGCATTGAATGACGGCATACACATGTAATGAATTAGCTAGTTTGATTTATTATACAAATTAATGTAATCTTATGAAAATCACATGTAGACTTCAGAATTATGATTGCTTAAAATAATAATGCAAATCATATAAAAAGTGTGACATGGTTGTCATTTGTCACCAACATTACAAGTGTTTTGTGGTCATTATTTTTATGGGTGTAAACAACTTTAGGATACAACTTGATAACCCTAACTCTTGGACCAAAAATTTAAAAAGGTTATCCAATACTTAAAAATAGGCATATTTAATTAGAGACGAGCGTTAACACTCTAAAACAGGGGTAAGAATAAATGAGTAAAAAAAAAAACAACACCTTAACTTAAAATTTTAAGATTTAAGCTTATGCATGGAGTTTTCAACTTTATTTTATATTAATTATTAATTTTAATTTTATTTGATGCAGGACTTTTCATATCAGTTTAAATTCACTTATATTTGAACAATTTAACACTTGATAATCTAAATAGTTTAATTTGTTTGCGTGTCATGTAATTGTATATTTGTACTTATCAGTCTGTTTTCAATAAAAAAAAAGTTGTATTTTTAATGGAAAAATTGCATCCAAGAACGCCGATGTTACAAAATTCACAATGAAAATATCTTGAAAACTTAGAATATTCAATAAAACTCAACGGGTTTTAATTTTGCCTTAGAAAAAAAAAATACCATTATTATTTCCTGCAGCCGATACTTTTTGAAATTATTACAAAAGCTGACTTAAAAGACGTTTGATTTCACATTAGCAACTGCCAGAAGCCCAAAGTCACTAGTCATGTATTTATTATATAATTGTGAAATTGTCAATATCATTTTGAATTTCTTGGCATCTTATTTAACTACTTTAAGCATTGCAAATTTACAATACATTTTTTCTTGATGAATAATTTACAGCACACTTTAATTTTAAATTACAGACTTCAGCTGAAACTATTATTAATATATTTAATTTCAAGTATCTTCTCAAATTAATGAAGATATTTTTGTTAACTCATGATAAAAATCATATCTTTTGAGTGATTTTTTTTCTTTGAAGTGGTCCAAGTGATTTTTGTTTCTCTCTCATTATGGGTTCTCAAGTCAATATTAATTAATTCTCTGTTCACACTTCACGCACTAATTTTAATCGACCCAAATTAAATGAGAAAATAGACGTGTCATGACAATTTTTTTTTTTTTGGTATTTTGAATGTTAAGTTGTCGAGTCAATCAATCCAACGTTAACAAATCAAAACTCATCGAAGAAATTGAAGATAAAGATGCATGATAATGCTTCCAAGCTATAGAATATTCCATGTTCAAAAAAATCCTCTAGAATAATCCATCGCTTTCTTTATATTTATCAAGTCAAAGACAATTATTTCTCACTCCAAATTTTTTGAGGCCTTCTGTCTTTCTATCTATCTATCTATCTATTTTGTGCCAACTAGCCTCCTTTTTGTTTGCTTCTTCTTCTGTGTCGTTGAATTATTGGCTGACATGGATTTTAGTTTATTTTATATTTTCAGAGTGATTACAAATTTTTTAAATTTTATTAATTACGCAGACCTTTATTCTATATTTCTATATTTAAAACTTACATGTCGTCACTTAAGTTGCAGGAATACTGATATGCATATAAGATATGATACGTATCTAATATGTTGATATTTTAATTTTTAAAAATATAAGATACCATACATTTCAATACATGTATATATATTTATAAAATATTAAAAATATAATTTTAATTTAGAAAATATTTAAATTAGCTTACATAAAGAGTTTTGTATAATAATACCAAATAAAATATACTCACTCTATTAAAAAATATAAAACATTTTTAATCAAATTTTACTCTCAATAAATAGTTATTTACTTTCAAACTAACTACATCATTTCATATTTATCCCTGTTAAACACTCTATAATAAATATAAAGTCATTATTAATAGAAACACTTTAAAAAAAAAGGCAACAATTACACCTCAAAAGACTAAAAATGTCTTATATTTTTGAACATCTGACTCTTAAAAAATGCCTTATATTTTTGAACAGAGAGAGTAATTATTAATTATATTTTTATTTTATCTCTACCTAATTGCCTATCACCTAATCCTTACTAATAGATATAGTATCAATATTTTTTCTTTCTCAATCATCATAAGATTACATTTTCATGTTTTTATAATTAAAAAAATATAATATTTAATCTTTTATTATATCTAAAACTTATTTTTTAAGAAAAATATAATCTTTGACTTTAAAAAGTAAATCAAAAAATGATATTAGTGATAAAAGTTTTAATATTGCAAGTTTTAATAAATTTATTTTCTTAATTTTTGGTTTTCAAGTATTGATTATCAATTTAGAAGTATCAAATACGTATCAAAAATTAAAATTTTTTAAAATTTAAAAATGTCATTTTGATATTTTATGAATACGTATCAAAAAAATATTAATGAGTATCAGTATATGATACCGATATAAATACATGATGTAATTTAAAGTATCAATTTTTTCATAAAATAAAGATTAATATATACAAATTTTCTTTGAATTTTTAATCAAATTGCATACCACCTTCTTCTTCAAAATATATAAACTATCAAGGAAAATTTCATATAATTTTTGCAAAGCTCAAGAAAAAATTGAGTAGTATTAACTTTTTGCAATGAGTTAAGTGAGAACATGTATAAAAGGAAATACTAGCTGTAATTAAAAAAAAAAGAGATAATGAAATTTTCAACCCTTTAAGTTTTGCTTTCGTTATTGAGTTAGTCTCTTAAGTTTAATTTTTATTGATTTAGTTTTTTATATTTTTTTAAGTTATCATATGAGTCTTTTAAGTTTTAAAATACAAATTGACTCTTAAAATAATATAATATGTAAAGTATATTATTGAGAACTTGATATATATATATATATATATATATATGTAGCTAAATAAGAATAAATTAATCATCAAATCAACATAATTTTTATCAATATAATTCTTATTGTGTTTTGTTCTCTTTTTATTAAAAAAATTGTATCTTTTACTTTTTTAACTAAGTAATTATATTTTTTAAATTAATCTTTATGGTTGCCATTGATATTTTATCATGTAGGTCAACAAATTTTATTAGTGCTGTCTCCTTTTTAAATAATAAGGACTAAATTAATAATTAAAATAAACTTAAAGGACTGAATTAATAAAAATTAAATATGAAGGATTAAATTAATAATTGAGATAAATATAAGGAGTTAAAAGTTGCATTATCCTTAAAAAGGTGAAAAAATTAAAGGAATTCAAAATTAAATACTAGTTTTAGACTAGTCTTTTGTGACAAATCAAAATTCAAATATTTATAAAAAAAAGTGTCTCATATTTAACATCTAACTATGTTTCAAACAGGATTGTCTCTAGTGAGTAATGAAAAAAGTAGTTTTAAATTAGATTAAGAAGCAGTTGTGGAATTTCCTGGTTTGTTCAAAGCAGCATCATCACCTGGAGAAGAGAAGAAGAAGAAGAAGTGTGAGTCCCAGGAAATTGCCCACGAAGGTCAATGATTTCTCACAACTCAGATTTCAACCCCAACCTCTTGCTTCTGGCCGGTAAGAACAGCAACGTCTGATAGTAATAATTTAATAATTAACCATACCCACTATCTTGTATTACTTTATATCAAAATTTTGACTTGTTCTATTCCTTCCACGCAATCATGACTTTTTCGCTTCGATATTCAAAGCATCGCCGAGATTTAGAAATAACCCAGAAGAGTCACAGAACTTCACAAGAACGAGAGCTCTTTTACTTTATATATATATATATATATATATCACCAAATAATGGAACTCAAGCGTGGCATAATAATAATAATAATATTCCTTGAAGCTCTCTCTCTTGTTCTTTCTTTTATCAGCTTCTTCTTGAAATCGCGCGCGGAGATTTTTGGCTGGCTTTGATATTGGATTAACCTAGCTAGATGCTTCTGGTTCATGGGATTCTGAATTGGTTTCTGGGGTTGTTTAGTTTCACAGAAAATAACGGATTGTTTTCATCCAGTTTCTCAGATTATAGCAACAATAATGATAAGCCTTGGCTATTGTTCATCACTTGCCTCGTAATTCTAGGCTTTGGCTTGTTGTTGCTGCATTGCACAGAAACTAAACAATCTGACAACACTACTTTAAATTATGGAAATGAGGAGTTTCAGAGTCTGATTGATCTTTTAAAGGAGGAAGAGGATCAGGAGCAGCCCGGCGATCAAATAGGTCTCGGTCTTGTGGCGGTCTACGAGGCCACTGGTGACCGGACGGCTAACAATGGTGGTGGTCGGAGCGATGGTGCTTGTTGCGCCTTCTGCGGCAATTTGAGCACCACAAGGTGTTCAAGGTGCAAGACCGCAAGATATTGGCAAGTAGTCTCCTCAACTATAATATATTATTTATACATGTGATTTATTTTTCACTGTACTTAATGATTACACGATGTTTTTCTTTTTAAATATTATAATAACTAATTACAATGATTAATTATCCAAAATCATAAATTTATTTCACTTGCATATCGATGATTTAACAGTGCTTTCTTCTTTGTTTTTTGGCCAGAATTTAACTGTGTTCTTAAGTTTTTGCGACTAAGCATGTATTTTCAAATTTAAAGTATAATAATTTTAAAAAGACAATAACACTTCAAGTTATAATTTTAAAATATTTAGTATGGAAAGTAATACATGATGATTAAGTGATAGATAATTAATGCAATTATTTGTATGTCAAAATTTATTTGTGAAAATTATTTGATATTTAATACTACTGACATCCACATTCGAGTCTGCTAGTCGAGTCTCAATTAAAAGGAGAGTAAAATTTTGCTGACATTTTTTTTTAATTTACAAGATTCAAAACGGGGCTTTGTTCAAAGAAAATCAAATTCCTCCAATATAATTCGATGTTTGTTGAAATTAACAGTCATATATATATATATATATATATTTGTTTTCTTGTGGGTTTGTCAGCTCAAGGAGATGCCAAGTTCTGCACTGGAGATTAGTTCATAAGAATGAATGTAGAGAGACAAAAACTGTGGACCCAGAAACACATCAGTCTCATGAAGCCTTAAGAATTGTTAACAAGTCTAAAAAGGTAAGCTTGATTAATTTCATATATATAGGCAATTAATTTGACACCAATGGTTCATTAGTTTATTTGCTTCATTTGATCATTTACAGGTTGAAATTATAATTAGCTTAATTAACTGCAATTAATCCCATGTTGTGTAAAATAAAAAATTGGAAGAAAATTAAATACCTAGCTAGCGATCAGGTTAAAGAATAATCAGTAAAAAAGAAATAAAACAAGTGGTTAATTAGTTAGTAATGTATTTGTTTGTTTGTTTATTTTTTGTCCTTTGTGCTTGATAATCGTCATTAAGCGTTACAAAATCACCACAATGGAAAAAGCCCTTGCCTATCTTGATTATAAATAACTAGCCACTACTACAGCTGGCAAGGGAAGAATAACATTCTTTAATTAAAAGTGAATATTTAAAAAAAATTATGTAATCATATGTAAAAAATAACAAAAATGAAGAGAAGAGAGAATAAAATACCAGATCAAATCAAATTTAATGAAAAATTAGGTTTTATAATTGAGTCAAGTTGAACCAAAGGAGCATTGGGTTGAAGTCTTGAAGATAATTAAACCTGAGGCTTCTCTTCATGCTTTACTCATTACAGACACATTTTAAGGTGCTAGCGTTGAAAAGATTTTTGGAAATTTGGTTGAGAAAATAAAAATAAAAATTGACTGATATGTTTTCATTAGTAATCCTAACATATACTGAAAACAATATTTAGGATTAAAGGAAATTATTATTTGCCAACTACATATATTTCACAAGTAATATCAGTCATCGTAAACTATTCGTTTGGAGCAATGCTATTCCTAAAATGTTAAATTGGTGTAATGTCACCCCTTAGCTAACCAACATTGATGTCTACCGTTAGTTTTATATTATTTTTGAATTAGAGGGCATTTTTTGCTCCTAAAATATTTAAGAAGGGAATTGTTACCTTGAAATTCAATAATATGATGAAACTAACGTTCTGAATTTTTTTTTGCTTAACAGTTAAAAAATTTATCAGTTTATATTAATAATTAATTACATTGACATCAATTTTTTTCTCTTAATTTTTTTTTAAAAACATGTGCATATTGACATTGATTATTCATATAAGTAGAGAGATTATTTTTCCTGTTATTGAATTTTAAAGTACCAGTTACTTTTCTATGGATACTTTAAAGGTAAAAATGGGTTTTAACTCAAGTTAAATATGGAGTTAACTTAAATGTCCATTAATCTAGAGCAATATGGTAAGCATTTTAACTTAAATGATTTTTTTGACTCAAAATAATTTACCATCTGTAATTCATTAACTCAATAAATTACAAAAGCTAAATTATTCTAATTCTAAATTTAGAATTAAACCGATAATTGAAATAAATTTTAAGAATTAAATTTTTTCATGAATTTTTTTTCACCAAAACGCTTGATCCTTCTTTAAAATGTCTAGAACTTATGGTATTTAAGTGTAATTAAAAACTTTAGAAGATCCCCATTTTCCCTACTTATTAGATTTAAATCTAAAACTTTATTTAAAAAAAAAAAAAAAACATGTGCCCGGAGCCAACTGAATGGAAAACCCAGATTTTCAAAAGTTTCAGCCTCTCAACGTTGTGAAGTTATAGCAAAATCTCTACATATAAATTCATTCATAAATGAAACCAAGCTGCCTCCATTATCATGAATTTGAAAGATTTTTGCCAATTGCCATCCTCCTCCACACAGAACAGAAAGTACTACTGAGTGATACTAACACTATCCCTTGCTATTTGCATGCGTAGTTTCTGAGTCTGAGAATGTGCATATGCTTACTAAATACCTTAGCGTGCAACTTTAAGGTCAAATTTTGGAACAAGTTAAAGCCACTTTTAACTTTACGAGTCACTTCTAATTCTATGTAGCTTGAATGTGATGGCCTTCTGTATTTGTTGCAATCTGTTGTTAATATAGTGTTTCAGTTTTCATTCAAAAAAAATTCCACGAGCCATTGTGCAGGAAGGGTTTGATGAGTGGAATTCGGGAGTGAAGGACACTGACGGCAGTCACAACGCAACAGGGAAACCCACCCAAGTGTCCGGTGACGCTCTCAGCAATTGCTTCAGTTGTGCCTTGTGTGGCTGCACAGCCACTACGAGATGCTCGCGATGCAAAGCCGTCAGATATTGGCAAGCCTTGAATTTTCATCATCATCTTTTTCTTTGTTTGTTTTGTTGTTATTGGTGGCATCTAATTCTTGTGCTTGTTATGTTCTTTCTCAGTTCAGCGAAGTGCTTAATTGAAGATTGGAGATGGCATAAAGTTGAATGCACTCCGAAGAACGTGGATTCCGCTCAAACAGAAAGACCTTCTCCGGGAAACGTAGGTTTTTATTTCTAAATGGAATTTCTGGAAGCTGTGGATACAGGTGTTTGGATTTTTTACGATTTTTTCTTTTTAGGTCGGGTTGCTTGAGAATCCTCATCAAGAGGAGGGTCATGATCATTCACCTCATCCCCTTGCTTTGGGATTTTATTCAGGTGTCTGCCAAATCATACCAAATTTTTGATTGGGAATGTTGTCCAAAATAACTAGTTGTGCATTGGATGGGTAATTCCAATTCTTCATTAATTGTTAGCCTTCTTGTCCTTTTCGGTCTATTGCAGAAGGAACCACCAACACCAACCCTCTGATTAGAGGCTGTCAGGTATGCTGGATATAGTTGTTTATGTGGAAAAAAGTGGGTGTGGGTCGGTGATTAAAGGACAGAATTAATCATGAACTTATGATTTAATGAAGGAACCTACTAAGAGACCACAGGATCATACAGTGGAAGGGGTGAGATGCCACGAAGATGAAATAGCAATGTTTAGGTGAAGTTTCCATTTGCTGTCTTGGTTTCTTGTTCGATTTGCTTGAATAAAAACTTAATTATAATATTCTCTTGTTTCGTATGTTTGATCAGGAATGAGATTATATTTCTTAAAGAAGAGCGTGACAAATGGGCAGCACGAGCAAATTTTGCTAGACAGAGATATCAGAGCTTAAAGAAAGAATCTGAACACCAGGTGATATGTCTCAAATTTGGGAGTGGCCGTGCAGTTTAACCATTTTAGGGCAAATGCTTACTTTATTTTACAGTTGCTTGTCTTGAGTAACGAAAAGAAACTGATATCAAATGCTGAGGCACAAGCTCAAAATGCGGTTCATCATTTATCTGAGAGGCTACAAGACTTGCAGGTTTTGATTGTGATTAATCCTGTTACATAATTCATATTTTTAACATATCCTTGTCTTGAACTGTTCAACTTAGTTTAATTCCATACAGATTGCAGTCCAAGCAAACTTTGCAGAGAAAAGAAAGCAAGAAGAATATATACAAAAACTGGAGGCCTGTTATCTTAAGTGCCTTATCAGTATTTTAATTTCTCTTGATTGATAGGAAGGAAAATCTTTATATACCTTTCTTTTTTTTTTATTTTGTTTTATTCATTGGAACTTGTTAATCAACAGAGTAAATGTGCTGAATTGAAGAGGGAACTGCAGAAAGAGTGGGAACACATCCAAGAGCTTACTGCAGCGCATGATGAGAGACATAAGACTGCTGAAATTGCCATGAGAGAAGTTGAAGAGAAAGAAAAAGAGCTCCAATCAGAGCGGGAATATGTCCAACTGTTAAAGGAGGATTTTCGTAGAGATGTTGCAGCTGCAGAATCTAGAACAATGATAGCTGAGGTAATTATTGGTGCCTATTTCAAAATATGCCTTGTTCCAGGTGAACTTTCCTAATGACTCATAGTTACTTTCTCTCGGTTTGCCCTTCAGGCAAGGCTCCTTGAACTTGACAGAAAAATTAGATCGAGAAATGATAAGGTGCATCTCCTTTCTTCTTGTCTGTTGGTGTCTCTAGCAAGTTTAATAATTTTTCAAGTTTAGAAAGTGTACTCATGGAATAAAAATTATCAATCTCACAAGGAATAGCATTGCATGGACTTTTCCATAATATTTTCCCAATTTATAAATGTATATTTGTATAATATATAAAATGCAAGTTCTGGTAATGAAGACGTTTTTACTATGCATTGCATAATTTCTAGATATTAGCCCATATAACAAATTAACCTCAATAATATCAATTGGTGGAAATTTTAAATCTATAATAATTAAATTCGCTTGGCAAGTCCCATAAAATGGTAGGAAAAGGCATGTAAAATGGGGACTGCTTTGTTAGTATGCTCGAGTTCTGAATTTGAGAACCTCGTGTTCCTGACTTCTTCCTTCTATTCAGGTTGCTGTCTGGACAGACAGTTTCGGCCGACCTGCCATGGTAAGTTACCTTTTTTTTTTTTTTTGGGGGTGAAGTATGGAGGATTATAATCTTTTGGCAGGGATGAAGAAATTCTTGTTGTGGTTGAAGAAAACCCATATAACCGTTATACTAGGGAAGAAATCTTTCCAGTTCTATTGCCAAATAAGGGTTTCGATTACAGGATTTCTAAAAGCGGGAACATAAATCCTGGTCTTCCAAGTGTCGACCTTGACTTACTTGAACTCTATGTTAAACCTGAAACCATTTCCTATTAAATGCAGGCATGCGCCATCTGCCTGAGCAATGAAAAGGATTTGGCCTTTGGCTGTGGGCACATGGTGAGCTTTTCCAAACAGATCAACAGTTCCCACCCTCCCCCCCCCCCCAAAAAAAAAAAAAACAAAAGAAAAAAATTTCCTTTATATGTTGTGATAATTTTCAAGTGATTCTGTTACAGACCTGCAGAGAATGTGGATCAAAATTATCGAAGTGTCCCATATGCCGAGAACAGATCACAAGCTTTGTCAGGCTATATCCTGGGTGATCATTGTAGGGTATCAATATCATGTACATATTCCGTATGAGCCATGTCTTGTATCCATGTTGATGCTAGATAACAAAGCTCCTTACTGGTGCTACATGTACATTCCTTTCAACCTTCCCCATCGTTTTCCCTCCCACCCCAACCAAATGATTGGCCGATACAATACATATCTACTCACACAATGGTATGCTGATTAGAGACAGCAGAAGTAACTTCAAAGTATGGAAGAAAATGAAACTTAGACGGGAAACGTGTAGGCATATGAGCATATCAAGCCACTTTTCAGTAAAACTTCTCTCAAACCTCTAACATGCTCCCTTGTATGTTTTTCACTGATTTGGTGTTTTTATTTTTTGTATGCCAAATCTACATAAGAATCTCTAGTTCATAACCTACAAGTTTGATGCGTAGGTGGTAACAGTTTGAAGTGTAAGCATCTTAGTTGTCTTGGTTGTTTGGAAGAGTTTTTCATTTTTTTTTTTTGACCATAGAAACAATTATGTACTTATGTAGGAAATTACAAGAATGAATCCTCGAGAGTCTATGTCAACTCGTCCAAATGACTGATAGAGCATCTTGTCTACACATGTACACCTCTAGATTCAAACCTGTTTGACTTCTTCCCTTGTAAACCATCCACTTGTGAATAAATATGCAAACATACTAGACATTTTGTTAACATCTTCTAACACGTTTATACGTTTATTCATATCTGACTTGATGGATCCATCGTTTGTAAAATAGATACACACACACACACACACACACACACAAGAGTTTTTGTCTGTTCTGTTTGTATTTTTTATCTGACCGTGTCATATACTAACAGAAGATCATAAACTGTCCTGAGATTTTATCTGGGAGATAGTATTCATAGCCAGCTGAATCTGCTGCGTTGAAAATGTATCCTTGGTTTTATGATGCAGGGGATGTTAATCCTTGTTTTCTGACTGTTTCAAAAGATGAGACAGGATCATCAGTTGTGTAATTTGGTAATCTGAGTTGAGTTGCAGGATTAACATTTGACTTACCGATATTGGAAACAAAGATTAAAGCAGTTTAATTATTTGAATTGTGATAAGAAAGTGAAAAACATGCCGTACAATTACCCGTCCCTTCATCAAGTTGAACTCCTTGAACAACTAGTGACGTGGTGGAGAAGTCAATATCCTCAAACCAGCACGACACTTGAATGTCGTCATTTCTTGTTTGACCTGGAAGAATGTCGTCATTTCACATCCATGCTTTTTGCAATATTTTAAATGTTATATGACGGCAACAATCTATTCTCTTAATTTAGTTTTTCTGGGGCAAATAATTTTGCTAATATAGATGGATAACTCCTTAAAATTTTGACTTGCTAATATTGGAAATAAAACTCATGAGAAAGTCAATACATGCTATGCAATTACCCTTTATCGAGATGAGTCAACCAGCAACCAATTAGTAACGTGTTGAAGAAGTCAATATTCTCAAACTAACGATACTTGAATGACATGCCGTCATTTCACTTCCATGCCATTTGCAATTTTTAAATTTTATATGCCCGCAACAATAATTCTTTTAATTTAGTGTTTTATGTGTAAATAACTTTGCTAGTACAGATGGATAATTCCTTAAGCTTTAAATTATGTGTAAATAAACTGATATTATGTTTTATTATTAGTGCTCTCTTCGATCTTATTTATTAGTTATTTTTAATATATTTTATCAAAATTAAAAAAAACTTTAAATCTTATTAATTTTATTTAAAAATTCAACAAATTTTTAATGTTATCTTTATTAAATATACTTCCTTTGGACTACAATATACTTCCTCCCTTAAAAAATGTAAGGTATTTTTTAAAAAGTTTGATGTTAAAAAATATAAGGCATTTTTAATTTTTAAGGTTTAATCCTTGTTTTTTTTTTAAAGTACCCTTATTGATAAATAACTTTATATTTATTGTAGGGTATTTAATAGAGGTAAATATAAAAATATAATGTTAGTTTAAAAGTATGTAACTACTTTATAGATTGAAAATGCCTTATATTTTTTAATTGAAGGAGTATAATATTGGTAATTTCTTTAGGATTATAAAAAAAATTTAGTTAAAACCTTAGTTTTTTTAAAAAATATATTTTCAATTGTACCCTTATTAAATATCCTATATAAATACCTTAATAATTCTAGTATATCATTTTTTTATCAAAAAGAATAATAAATAAAATAGGAGTATAGTTAAAAAAAATTATAAAAACTATCAAATGCCTTATATTTTGAATAAAACATAGCTTCTATAAGATATCGTGTATTGTGGTCCAAAGATACGTCCATTAAAAACAAAACATTCAAGTATTTAATACCTTCTCAACATTTAGTAAAAGCAAAAGGCTAAAAATAAATATAATAATCATTAAGATGTTTTGTAAATAAAATTAAAACAAATACTCTCTGTTGGTCTCTGTTGGTCATGCAAATGGGACGAGAGGCGTGCTCAACAAACTAATTAATGAGGGGTTTGTTAAGTGTTTGGGAGGGTTTATTATTAAGTTTTAGAAATATTTGCTCATATCCAAAATTAAAAGGGTTTATGTGCAATGCAATTTAGCCTCAATATTATAATTATTTTTTTTTAAAAAAATTGGGTTGATGCTATTATGCACACACACACGCGATGGATTAAACATTACTAAACGTTATAATAGACAAGTGTTCATGCTTGGTGGTTTTTACTCGGTCCATTTAGGTTTTCTTTATTGTGATTAATTAAGTAGCTAATCTAGGAGTAGCATGTTTGAGGAAGTAATTAACCCTAATTTCCCCCTCTTTTAAGAAGAAAGGTATTGCATACCCAATACCCACTCTCTAGTCTCTATCTGTCATTAGCTGATTTATCAGTTTTTTTTTAAATTTATTTTGAAATATTTGTAATGAAATTTCCAAATATTGCATATATAACTGATAGTTGAATTTGTTTGTGAAAGTAAACCCGAAAAGTACGCAACTTGATAAGGAAGAAAGGTGTTGTATTTCCCTTTCGTCTTCGTCAATACAAATTCAGCGCATGTACATGAACATGGCTTTCGTTTTCAGAGTTATTTGAAATTAGACGTTGTCCTATACATTATATAAAATTTGAAAATTATTTCGGGGATATATTAAGAGTTTTTATATTTTATATCCTTATATTAACGTTGATTCATGAGCTAATTTTCTAATTTTTAGAAGCATCTAATTCAATAGAAGTTATTTTTTATTAGCTGCCTTCCGTTTCTTCCCCCAGATTTTTCTGTCTTCAATAGTTCAATTGATTTATTATATATATATATATAATGTTTGGTGATAATTCAAGTGACAAGAATAAAGCAAGGTGTAGTTAGATTAATTTTAAAAGTATTTTTTTATAAGAAAAGGACATTTAAGGGAAGCTGGCAAGATAGACATCACTGTATGTTGTTCTTAGAAATTTCATGAGATCATTTGACCGCCTTATAAAGTATTGCTCTTTCATATTAGTTAATTAATTAATCGTAAAAAAATGGTTTGAATTAGTTGGGCCTATAAGAAAAATGGTAGGCTATAATGATTTTAAATTAGTTGATTTGAGGGTTATGATCCAATTTTATTTTTGTACTTATTTTTTTAGAAGTGTTGATCACCTTATACTTTTAAACGAAGCAATTTTACTTTTAAATTATTTTTTTGGGGAGCAAAAAACTTCTTATATTAGTCAACCGTTGATTTTACCCTTTTTTCACTGAAATGGCATGTGCGTCCATGCACAATGACATGTAAGATTTTGACTATGTCATTTGATGCTAAAGTCTTTTTTTAAGAATGCTAGATATCCTGAAATCTTGTTCAAAAAAATTTAATAACTATTATTAAAATATTAAGTATTTTAATATTTAATAATTTAAATATTATTATTTAAAACATTACACCACCTAATTTTATATTTTAATATTTTATAATTTTGTATTAAAAATGAAGGGAACAAATCTCTAAATTAATGAAGGAATTTTTTCTTCTCATTTTTATATTTTTTTTGTTAAGTAAATTTTTTTATAATATATTAATGAAATAAGCAGTATGTTTTAAATAAATATTTTTGTTGATATATTATTGGTATTGATTTATCATATTTTTTATTTTACTCCTAATATTATAACATACAGAGAATATTAAATTTGGTAGTGCAATATTTTGAAGAAAAATTGTTAGTTGACTAAAAAATTACAAAAAATGACTTTAAAATTTAAGGAATTTAACCATATAAAAATATAAATAAGTTCGGATACACACAAAAGGCGTAACGATCTGGGTACTATATTAGAGAGAAGATCGAAGATTGATATATAAAAAATAATTTATAAATTTTGAATGAATACTTATAAATAATAATATTTAAATTATTGAATATGAAAATAATTTATATTTTTACAATATTTATTAAATTTTACTTTAATAAAATTTTAAGGTGCTCAATGCTCATATAAAAGATTTTAAGGTGCTCATACTCTTGAAAGAAGAATTTATGAGCAAATTAGCACCAAAAAATATGACTATAGCCTTACCTATTATTGTGTGTGAGACCCACACATAAGTCATGTTAGCAAAAAATGATAAAATTAATGACTTCCTAATAGAATGACATTTTTGGACCTCAAAAAATACTTCAGGAAAAAAAAATTTCCTACTAAAATGCATAGAGCGTCTAGCACTGTTAAAATATAAATACATGGAAAAATTAAACTTTAACCCTTGATTTAATAATTATAAAAAAACTGGAAATTTTAAAACAAACAGTTAGAAATTTTACAATTCGCAAGATTTAACCATTAATTAACCAAAACTCTATATTTAATATTTGTAAATCTTTTATCTAATTTTTATACTATCTTAATATTTAATTGTACATTAATACACACACACACACCAAAAACCAATTCCATTCCATCGGAAAAAATACCAATTCCATCTTGATTATTCACTTTACAAATATTGAATAAATAATAATAGATAAAAAAGTAAATTGACCCTTAAATTATAAGTTTAGAAATGTAAAATTATAAATTTATTTTTTATATAATATTTATTTTTAATTTTTAAAAATAGTATAATATGTTTTTGTTAATAAAAATTAACTTTAATCATTAATTGATAGAAAATGAAAAAAAAATTTAAAAACTATAGAAAATGATAAAAAATTATAGTAAATGACTAAAAAATTACATGCAAAGATTCAAAAAAGTTACAAATTTTTTGGTCTAACTAATGGTTTAGTTTAATTTTTGTTAATGATATGGCTAAATTGCACAATTTTAAAAAGTTGAAGGAAAAATTATAAAAAAAAAAGAATTTATAGTCCTTGACACTTCTAAACTTATAATTTAAAAGTCAATTTACTCTTGTACCCAATAATAGTCTATGTAATTTAATTTTTACTATGCCAACAAAACGATATTATATTAGGCAAAGCATTTTTCCCCCGTTCCGGTCAATGATTGGAAAATGCTATTTTTTTAATTATAATTGCAAGACTTCTTTCAAGTTTGGCCAAGAAAATTTCTCCAACAAACGACAAAGACAAGAAGAAACGGAAAACTTCCATCCACTTGTATCAATAATTTATAATTATAATCTACCATTAGTTTCTTTTTCATCCTACCAAAGAATATTTCATTTGTTTTTAACTTTCTAGCCTTTCTCATTTCTTATTGAAAATATAAAATAGATTCCCCTTAATTAAGTTTGTTTAATATGTAAAAATTGAAAATCAAATACTCAATTATTTCTTTAAAGAATGGAAGTTTTTACTGCTACCGTCAGCCAAGTGTCGATTCCATTTAAGGACCAAAATTTGACAAGAACTACATTAAATATTTTTTAAAACTATAAAGCGTGAAATTACAATCAAACAGTAATATTTATTTAGATTTTGTTTACACACATATATTAATTATAATATTAAAAACCTTTTGATATAAATTTTATAGAATTTAAATATAACTAACATTACGAAACATGAGAAATAGCCCACACTTTTTGAATACTTTTTCTAATCTTATATATAAGTTACTTTTTTTTAAAAAATTGATAATCCTTTTTTATATATAACTCTGCATAAAAAATGGATTATTAATTATTTTCTTTTAATTTTAATTTTTCACAATTTTCTATGAATAGGATAAGAGGCTGCATACCAGAAAATGTTTTTAAAAATGATAATTTAATAAGGATAAAATGAGAATTTTTTAAGACAATATCGATGTTTTAATTACTTTTTTAAGATTCCATTGAATTAATTAATTGTGACTTGTATGTGGGAATGGATCGAGCATATATTAGACTTGGATTATAATTTTAAGCCCCTGGCTTCAACCGTCACATCATTGACTAGTAATAAGCTAACTTACGATAATTTAAAAGTAACACTAGATAGCACTTGCCCAATTGTCATAACTCAATTGGCATCAGATGATGTCACACTAGTTAATTGGATTATACTAATGAACGCATATTTTCTCGGAAAAATCCCTCAATACTGAGATCACTGAAAAAGAACCTGTCACTGATTTGGCTGGGGCTTTCACTCCATAGGTCAATATTTTTGGAAGTGGTAATTCACAACACGATAAATTATTTTACCACTTATTATAAACCTCCTTATTTGATCCTTCCCATTGATTTATGGTGATAAAGATTTATCCTTCATGACTTTCATTTCTGAATGAACTTATCTCATCCTCTGAAGAAAATTTCTATGGTTTTAATATCAAGATGAGCACTGGAGATTAAGGTAAGTCAATGGTTTTTGGTAGACCTGAAAACTTCAAGTCAAGCTTTTATGTATTTTCTAGTTTCCCCTAGTTGATTGGTTCTCATTTCCTGGTACTTGCTTCTGATCTAACTTTAAGTTGTGAAAGTAAGTATCATAATTGGATAGGAGCAAGACATGGCAGTTCCTAAGAACACAAGCTTGTCCTTCCAATTTCTTAACTCACTGAAATCACAGAGTGCCTTTAAGGCGTTTGATGGGTTGTTTTTTAACCTACTATGGTTCTTCAAGTTCATAATGATGATCATGGTCATACTGTTCCTGGGGTGGCTTTTCTTAGCTGATAAAAGAGAACCCTATTATCAGTACTCCAAAGCAGAGGATGGAAAAGACAGAAAGGTTCAAGATGAAGATGAAGATGGGAAGTTTGGTTCTGCAAGAGAGGATTTGGATGCTTGCTCATACTGTGGAAAATTATGCACCATAACCAGAAGAACTTGCTCACGTTGCAAAACTACTCTGTATTGGCAAGTCTCAATTCTTTTTTATAAGCTTTTCCATCCTGATTGTTCATACTCTTTTAGCTTAGATATGAGTTTCCTGGTTAATGTATGATATAAATTTAGAAATATTCAATTTACTTTGTGATTAGAGTAAAGATGACTCATTCTGGTCTGTTGAATTTATCAGCTCATGGGCATGCCAAGTGACTCATTGGAGATTTTGGCATGAATATGAATGCAATGAGATGGAGACAGAACCACAGTATGAAAGACCTGTTCATGGTGCTTCTCAGCTTTTGATCAAGCAGCTTGAAAATGTAATGTTACTGTCATATACAAGTTTATTCCATTTTTTTTTTCATATGAAAGCCCACGTTTTAACTTGCTCATATCAGATGTATAAATACTGAAAAATCTGTAGGAGCATATGAATTTTGGATTCTGTCCAAATAGTTACTTGATTTTTAAATTTGATACTAGCTTAAATTTTTAAATTCATGCGTAGAACCTCATTTTTATACCTGTTATTTCATTGGTGATGTGGCATATTAATAGGGCTACCTATATATGTCTGAACATTCATATATTAGGAGGCTTGTTGGAAAGTTTTAAAGATTAAGACTGTTATCTGGGTATGATCTAAACTTGAATTATTGATTTATGATTGAAAATTTGGGCAGGGAAGTTCTTACTCTTCTGATGAAGATGATGAGCAGATAACAGATGCGAGAGAGGCACAACATGTTGAAGCAAATGAAGAGCAGCTTAAGAAACAGCTCAAATTCAATCTTCTAACTGGAAGTTCTGAGGTATGAATATTGAGGATGGAACTTCATCTGAGAAAAAATCAATGGCCAGTTTGTGAATTGAACTTTTGTTTTGATGCAGGAAGCTATTGAGGAACCCCATGAAATAGCAGAACAAGTCAGAACACTAAAGGAAGAACTGGCAAAGATCAAGTACAAGAGTCTTTTATTATTCTTGATTTTCCTCGTTTCACTTGTTCACAAGATGTTACTTTGTTTCATCCAAAACTTTCTTTAGGAACAATTTCATGTCTCATTAAAGTTGCAAAGCAATTGAAATGCTGATGTGGTTGACAGATACTCAAATTTCTTTTACAGTAGTAACTAGGTGGACTTTGTGGATTACTTGGAATATGAAGAATGCTAGTTATAAATTTTGTGCAGATTGGTTATGCTTACTGACATGAAATATTCGCTGATAATCAGAAATGAGAATATGTCACTAAAATCAGAGCGTGACAACTGGGAAACGCTAGCAAGGAGTGCTAAAGAGAAACTAGACAGCTTCATCAAAGAATCTGAGCACCAGGTAATTGCAGTAGTCATGAGAACAAGAAGCTTAATTCATGTTAATCCTTTGATTAATATAGAAATGCAGAGAAAACTATGAAGTATAAGTTTGTAAATTCTAGGGATGTGAGAAGGGCTAATATAACACTTTGTGTTGTTTACTACTTTTATCAGATGCTCATTCTGAAGCATAAAAAGGAATTAATATCAGACTCGGAGAAGCAAGCACGTGCTTTGGTTAATAGTTTGTCTGAGAAGCTACGCTGTTTGCAGGTTATGCTGCTGCCAAATTACTTTGCACACACACACACACACAATTAGTTCAAGTGATTCTGTATGTGGCTATCTTTAAACTCTGTGGATATACCGTGTAGATTGCAGAGGACAAGAGGGTTGCAGAAATGAAAAGGCAAGAAGAATTCATACTCATGCTAAAGGTATATGATTCCTCTAACCTATAATTGTACTTAACCACTCGGATTTGTTGACAAGAATATTGTAGAGAATCAAAGGTGAAGGTCAAACGTGTAATTTTCTGAGATTAATATGATATGTAATGCCAGTAGAAATGTTGTACAGAATGAATATTCAAAGGCTGTGAGAGAGGTACAAGAAGAGAAAGAAAATGTGAGAAAGCTGAGAAAGGAGCGAGATCGGGCCACAGATTTTGCCATGAAACTGGCTGAAGAAACTGGCCAAAAACTACTCACTGCACTTGATGCTGTTGCTGCAATTGAATCTAGAATTGCTTCTCCTTCTCCTTCTCCAGAGGTATTACTTAGGGAGAATGGCAATGAGGGCCTCTAGAGAAGAAAAAATAGCAGTGAGAGCTGAACACAACTGAAAGATTATCTGTTCACAGATACAGATTCATCGATTCAATTGTGAATAAATGAGCCTTAAGTTGTGTTTGGCCCTCACTGATATTTTTTTCTCCTCTGGGGGCCCTCATTGCCACTCTCCCTATTATTTATAACACATATATACATGAATCTTCTATAGTGGTAGTATCATCTAGTGGGACTCTAAAGTAGCTGGCTATACCAGTGAAGAGAAAAATAGAGACAGTAATGAGACCAGTCTAGCATGTGAATCTTATACAGACCTATCGCTATATTATAAGCCCAAGTTTAAAGGGAGATAAACATAAGTTTAAGCCTATCGACAACCCCACTCTAAAGCACTTTACTGTTTACTGCACAACTCTAAAAGAGAACTCATATAACTATTAACTAGAATCATTGGATAAATATTTAACACAAGTATTTGATGTGCATTAAAAAAACATGACATTGCTTCGCTAAGCTATTTGAAATTAGCTAAAGTGGTAAGGGTGAAATAGAATATGAATAAAGCTTTAGGTTTAACTCGTATGATGATATAGTGAAAAAAAAAACAACAACAACATTTGTTTAAATTCGGAATATTGATTTTGCTTTTGCATGAAAAAATTTGTGACTAGTTTGTGTACTTTATTCTGTATTTGAAATTTTCTGTTTTCTAATTATTGACTTTATTTAGGTTTCTCGAAGGAACAGTTTGGACAGAAATCCAATCTTCCTTAATGAACAGGTATGTTAAATAGTATAGGTCCATAAAAAAATCAAAAGAAAACTTTTTTTGGTTTAACATTCAAATATAAATGTAAATGATTAAGATAGTGTTTCTTACAGTAAATGAATTGTTTAGTTCACAAAAAATTTACCATTATTTATTTAATTTTTTTTTAATATAATCTCTTTGATATTTTTGCCTCATCAAAACTGTTATTCCATATTGTCTGATTTTCATGGGTATTATAATTAATTACAAATGAATTCTAAATCAGTTGTCAGCCTATAGAATAAATAAATAGTGACAAAATAAATCCAAAAAGATTAGGCTTGATAAATCTGAGCTAACACAAGCATTTTACAATGAAATGCAGGCATGTGCAATATGCTTGACCAATGATAAGGACATGGCCTTCGGTTGTGGACACATGGTGAGACTAACTCTAATAGAATAATGAATGATTTAGAATCAGTACTTCATGTCAGTTCTACTAACTGTAATGAATTTGAATTTCTATTAGACTGTGTACGCACTTGAGCGCGCGTGTAAAATTAGGTCTGGTTTTGGTGTTGCATTGTGATTATAATGAAGTGATAATGATACAGACTTGTAGAGATTGTGGGTCAAGAATGTCAAAGTGCCCAATATGCAGACAGAAGATCAAAAGCAGAGTCAGGTTATTTCACAGCTGATTTGTAGAGATTGTGGGTCAACAATGTCAAAGTGAACTTTGTGCAGAAGAACATCAAAAGCAGAGTCAAGTTATTTCATAGCTGATTTAAATTCGCTTAAGACTTCATATATATTATAAACAGTGTGGCTTTCCTTTAACTTTGTGTACGACGTGTCTGTATCATTGTGTGTCACATGATTGATCATATTAGTTATCATGTGATTTCTATCACTCAGCAAACACAAGTCAGCAGCACGTCGACAAACTTCTGTACGGCTCAATGTGTATATTTTCTCATACTTTTTTGTTTGAGAGAATATATATATATACATACATATACACCCACATAATATTGTTGAAGTGGGTCTCATGACTAAGATCTTTTTGATTCTCATTCTATTATTGGAGAAGATTCTTATTAAATTTCATCCACTTATTCTTTCGGTCAATACGATAGTGGGCCTGAACTTGATAGGCCTATTGGTCCAATGGTGGATCAAATTTTTCACAACTATATAAAAATTCAATTTTTGACTTAACCTGATCTTCTGTAGATGGGATTGCTAGACTATTTAATTGATATTCATAATTACCACCACCTGTCTGCACTTTTGACGTTGGATTTAATGCTTTACTGAAATCATAATTATTCATTTCACTTTAAACCTAAACCTTCATCACGAATTGTTGTAGAATATCCATTAGTACTAGATTGAGCGTCTATTAGTGAATAAAAAATTATTCTACAACGCTTCTGTAAACGTAATTCGTTGTTTTTATTACAAAGCAAAACTTAAAAAACCAAGTCAAAGAAACCAGCAAACGATTTTCCCCATAATTGATTATTGAATGCTAAACTTGGTTTTCTTTTAAGCTGCCTTGAGTAGCTTATCAATTACAATTTTATTGTTACTTTCATTCATTTCTTGCCAGAAATATTACCTGCCCCAACATACCCCTTTGTGCACTTGCAGAGTTGTTGTCTTGCTTTTCTTCGTTAAACTTATTAAATAAAATATTACAATATAATACCAAGATCACGCCTCTTAAATATTATATTATAATACTCCCTCTATTTAAATTATAAAATATTTTTGAATAAGATTTTACACACCAATAAATTTTCATTAAATATATCTAATAACCTTATTTTTTAAAATAAAATATAAACTTTTAAAAATATCATTCATTTAATATAACCTTAAATCTATATTTAATTATTAAATATATAGAGAGAGAGAATGTAGTATTAAAATAAGCCTATTTAATGAAACCTTAATTTTCTTATAGTATCTTATATTTTAAAAATTTAAATCTCTCTCAAAAGTATTTTATAATTTAGGATGGATGAAGTATTAACTACTAAATTATAAATAATTTTTTATTTTAATATTATTTTTAAATATAGTTTTCATAATTAATCCTACATGTTAAATATCATATAAATTTATTTGAACTTAGATACATTAATTTATTTTTTACATACATTAAATTATTAATATTACAGTATAATATAATTGAAATTTTTATAATTAATCAGGTATATATATATATAATTTAAATAATATATTTTACTTGTTAAATGAGTTGAATAAATTTAACATCATTGTATATAATTTTATCAATATTTTAATTTTAAAAAATAATGTCTTTTATAGTAATTTTTACATCTAAAATTGATTCTAACTATATCATTCAAACATTTTCAATTATGTCAAAATTAATTTTGAAAAATAATATTCAAACATGATTATCTTATAATATAATCAATTATAATTAAAGTCAATTATATTAATCATTTTTTTTGAAATTAATTATATTCAATTGAAATTCAAATAGGCTGTAATTTTGAAAAATGGTGAAGTGAATTGCCTATATGAATCCATGTACAAACCCATGATTAATTACATTTATAATTTTTTTTTATTTTTCAATTTCTCTCTAAATGCTTTATATACATGCGTTTCCTTTTGTAGATATATATATATATATATATAGGAAATTTGATGTGTCAAAAATTATAGTGTGAGCAAGGTACTAAACATTAGGCTAATCATTGGTAAAGGCATTGGTTGTGATCAAAACTGTAATGAAATTGTGATTAGTACCAGTCATAAATAAAACATTTTATTAAATCAGTCAAGATATTAATTTAATAATTTACTAGTTCAATTAGGTGGGTTGACACGGATTTTCCATGCTCTAAGTATGAGGTAAAATTAACAACTCAAAATGGCGAAAAAAAAAAATTAATTTGATGATTGCACACAAAGGTGCAGCACAAATGGACCATATGTTTCGTTTTTCTTTTTTGATCATCACCAATTTAGGAAACACTCCAAGTGGTTCCATATATAGGATTCCATAGCCCATGTAAGGCGTTTGGTCCTTCCTTCTCTATCACTTTTTCCGCGTCTAAAGGAAAGAATCAAAACTCAGAACTCACCAACATGGTCCAACTTGCCGGCATAGTGCTCCTAGTCATAATAATTAATCCGAAAAAACAAAAGCTTTGGAAAACACATGCAACAGTACTTATCATCACTAACACTTGCCTTCTGGTTTTGCAGCCATGTATAGCAGACGCAGCAGCGGAAGAAACCCACATGATGAAAGCTACTGTTCATCTCTGTAACATGTTCAAAAGCAGAATAACCATTTTGTCTTTTCTACTGCACAAACTAACATGCCAATGCCACCAACACTTATCCATTTATATATTGACAACTTTTCCGAATCTGATACTCTGATCTTCCATCATTTATATATATCTCCTCTCATTATATTGTTTACTCTTTTTATTTTTCTTCTATGTTTTTACTACATATATGCTTTCATGCATTGTTTGAGAACGTACGCTTTATTATTATCGTCCCAAACAACTAATAAGATCGTGTGAAAGGTTGCATGGCTTTAGAAACCATTCATCTAACACCTTCTCAGCATGATGGTTCCCTTTCTCTTTCTCTGGGTTTAAAAAATGAAAAGAATATGTAGAAGCCATGTGAATGACAAAATATGGTACAGAAATGCATGTAAAGTGGACCAGAATCACGCATATATCACAGTACCTAAGTGTCGCCTAAGAAGCGATCGATCCCATTTTTCCCCACTAATCAATTCAAGTTTGACTCTCTGTTAGCGAGTGCTATATAAGTGGATCATATCATGAAATATGATCTTAATATATCTGATCTGTTTTTATCAACTTGTTGGATAAGCAAAACTCTAAACACACTGTGAAAGAAAACCTAGCTAGCTAATAGTACATAACATAACACTACTCACATCACTATAAATGAAACCAGAAAAGAAAAAGAACCAGACAGATAGATAGCCGTAAGGATTGATGGCTAGCTAAATTAAAACTATAGAATAGCGAGTTTACTTTTTGAAGCAATAGCGTTTGTTTGTTACTGTTTCATGGATGATATATATAAATATATATGGATGAGTTTGGAATCTCTTTATGCAAAATCAAAGGCTGTTTCCTCATAATTCTTTCACACGTAATGTTAAGGAAATAGTTCTAAGACCAAGGGGAATGGAGAATTGTAAAAGACGATTTGTTCAAGTTCATTATATAAAGTGTATGCACAAAAGAGCCAAGGTCCTTTCTCAAATCATCTCAAGCTAGTGTGTCAGCATAATTGATTTTGTACAACTCGATCCACGTCACATTTGAGGTGTAAAAACCAAAAGCTGCCTGAGCAACACATAAAGGGCAGTAAATTAGGATATTGTTGGAATATAATTCTTCGCCGTTTTAATTACTTTAAAGCTAATACTTATGCTTCAAAAGTATTTGACCTCAATTCTTTTGCCGCCACCACAAACCCTAAATAAAAACTGTCCTTTTATTATGTAATGTAACTATTTATAAAAACTAAGTACGTACACTTTGAATATATACAGTATTATCATTCAGACCCTCGATCATTAAAATACTCACATTAGTATTATTGATATTCTTCTGGCAAAACAGGAAAAAAGAAGAAGGTATTATTGATATTCAGACTCATTTTGATATTTCCTGAGTGAAATCAGTGGTGAGTGTAGTGAGGTTGGGTTTTCGAGTGTGTTTTTGAGAGAGGCAGTCAAAGATTTTAGGGGTAATGATTAAAGCGGCGAGGATGTCTTTACCGAAATGAAAATGATATTTTAAGGAAAGGGCATAGAAGAAGGAACAAAGGAAACAGTAAAGAAAAAGTGCGTTTGGATGGCAGCAAAAAGCAAAAGAAGACTGTGACTATTTGACAGGTAGATTTGTTCGGATGCTGTTGGGCCCCACTTCACCCCTTCATCTCCTCTTTCATAAAAGGGCTCTTTCCCCTCCTTCCAATCCCAACCAATTCATCTCTCTACGTTCTCTGCTTCCATCTCTTTTAATTATTTTTATCCAAGTTAAAAATAAATTTCACTCTTAAATTATAAGTTTAAGAATGGTTAAAATTTCAAATTTTTTTAGTGCAATAATTTTTTAATTTTTAAAAATGATACAATACCATTCATATATTATTAATGATACAAGTTAACATTTAATCATTAATTGACTAGAAATTAAAATTAAATACAATAATATCAAAAATTATAAAAAATAACTAAAAATTATTCAAAATTACATACAAAGAACAAAAATGTACAGAAAATGATCTAAAAAATTATAAAAAATGATCAAGTAATTTTTTTTGTCAACTAATAGTTGAAATTAATATTTGTTAATGGTAAAAGTAATATTACATTAATGTTTTTAAAGGTCGAATTAAAATATTGTACCAAATATTGCATACAATAATCTGATTATGAACATTATGAACATACCATATATATTTAAATTAAGATCATACATTGATGGAAAAGGTTTTATTCTTTTGATTGGTGAAAATTATAATAATTTTGAATGAATTTTCATATTATAATTCGATCTTTGAGTTCACAGCATAAAATTGCTACAATCTGGTAATTCGCTTCGACATAGAAGGGATGCGATTTCTAATAATGAACATGGACAAAGGACAAAGTTTTTTCTTTTATTGCTTTTGTTAAATTAAGACTTGGTTGGGTATAAATATTTCAATTCAAACCTGTATTTGGTAAGAATTTCTTGATGTTAGAGCTAGCTAAACATTGTTTAAATCTAATAAGTTAATCTAGCTTATCGTACTTTTTCTGGTCTATGTTTCCAAATGGTCTTGATATACAAAATTTAATACTATTACTTTAATTAGACGTGATGATGACTTCGATCTCCGTCAATCCAAGCTTATAAAATATTGGATTGAATTAAAATACACCACCGCGTATGCCAGCGCGTAATAGAAAAAAAGCAGACCCAGATTCAGTATCACTCTACATTTTTTAAATCGTATGTGTTATACTTAAAGCGTGAAGCTGTGGATTAATAATTGTTAAATATAACGTGTATGAAAGAATATTTCGATTATATATTCAGCTTTAAGTGGATCATCATAATTAATCAGCAAATCCTGCATCGTGTCACACTGCCAGTAACATGCTTCTACACTTTATTATTGCGTCACTTTGTTTTCCTGTACTACATGATCTTAATTTAAGTAATAATATATCTGCTTTACTTATACTCATGACTAAGTTCAGAGACAGTGTTAATCCTTCTTTGATTAAAGTCCTTGCTCTGGAGCAAAGTTGAAAAATTATTAATTTTTTAGATAAAATTAATAAATTTTAAAGGTTTTTTTTGTGTTTTATTTTCGTAAAACATGTTATAAGTGACTTATAAATTATACTAAAGGAGTATAATCTTATGCCAGACAATTTAAGTTATTTAATTACTTAATTAGCGACTTCTTAAAACTCTTCAAATATATTGACAGGTGATTTAATATAAGAAACAGCATTTATAAGTCATGAAACTGCTGCTTATCTCAAAGTTCCACCAATGCATAAACATGATGTCTGTCTTTCTTTAAAAAATTAAAAAAACAAAATACTCTTTTAAAAATCATATGCATAGCTAGGCTAATATATATATATATATTGTCATATATAATCCAAAAGCAAAGTTAAAGCACCTCAAATTAACTAATGCTAGCTAGATCTGATTGATCCTATCCTGGGTAACCTCAATAGTCGGAAAAAAATCAACTTGCACATGTTGATGTTACAGAACGTAAGAGATTCTGCATACCTAGCTAATGCTACTTTGCATGGAATGCAAAGAATATGATGAATGATGATGGTATTCTATAGAACACACATGCCTGATGCCCGTATAGAGATGTCGATCCACAGACACATATTTTAGCACATGCACATCAAATATTTTACGAGCAAGCTGATACCTATATAATAGTATGGTATGATTGTAATATTTTAATGACTAAGATACACTGTAATAAAATATTCTGGGGCGCAGTATGATTATTTAATGCTGTAAAATAGCTAGGCATAGTATTGCGTGTTGAAGAGTATGGACGGTTCGTGAAGGCCCACTCAGTCTTTTAAGAAGGCCTTTGATTTTTGTTAGTTTGTGAGCGGACAAATTAAAAGCAGAGAAGCTTCTTATCCCCTCTCTGCGTTTTCACACATGCAAGTGACCCCCTTGCTTGCTCTTAGATTCTCTTCCTATGACCTTAGACTGTCCGTTTTTCACACTTTTATCCCTCAATTCCCACCGTAATTGCTGAATCTGCCATACTTCTCTACTCTTTCAACGTATCTAGTAATATGCTTGGATTTCAAGGGTAGTTCATAAGACTCGGGACTTTCAAGTGTAGTTCATAAGACTCGGGACTCAACAGTGGCCTATTTAGTTCTGTGTCGTACATGCTAGTTTATTTCACATATTCTGCCTCTCAATTCCCAAACCTCCCTCTCCCTCTCCCTCTCTTCTCTCTCTCTCACAAGTTAGAATGGCACCGATGAGTCTCCCACCTGGGTTCAGGTTCCACCCAACAGATGAAGAACTCGTTGCTTACTATTTGGAAAGAAAAATCACAGGCCGTTCTATAGAACTTGAAATTATCCCTGAAGTTGATCTTTACAAATGCGAACCATGGGATTTGCCAGGTACACCTAGTTTTTAATTGCATATATACACAGTTCTTGTTTCTATATATAAGACATGTATACATCATGGTTCTTTAATTACGAGTTTTTTTACATATTGATTCTTTCAAACTCATATAAAAAAAAAAAAAATACAGACAAGTCGTTCTTGCCAAGCAAGGATATGGAGTGGTACTTCTACAGTCCAAGAGATAGAAAGTATCCAAATGGGTCAAGAACAAACAGGGCAACGAGGGCTGGATACTGGAAAGCCACAGGGAAAGATAGAGCAGTTCAGTCTCAGAAACGCCAAGTAGGGATGAAGAAGACGTTGGTTTATTACGAAGGAAGAGCACCACATGGGATTAGAACCAACTGGGTCATGCATGAGTATCGCCTCATTGATTCCCTCCCTACTCCTTCTTCCTCCTCCTTGAAGGTCTTTCTCTTTTTTGAATAATTTATAAAAGACTTCAGATTAACTTGTAAAGATATAATCTTAAGGTTTTTTAACCAAACTAGGGTTTTTGATAAAATTAAGGGAGTTGATATATGACAAACCTTAAAATATATGGATATTATATTTGGTTGTTTGTTCTGCATCTTGGAGTACATTAGGCGAGGAATAGAGTTGATTTTTTCCTGTACAAGTCAAGCGAATAATAATTACATATGGTGACTGAACCGATGGTAGAAGAAACCATTAAAAGCCACAAAAGTTAATCACGATCTAAAGACCGGACAAGACAAGATCCTGAAGTTCGGTGTTGCTTTAGTCTTTGTTAAGTTGGTCTTTAGCTCACAGAAGATTTTTTGGGTACTTTAAGATATTGATCTGTGACCCCTTGTTTATGTTCAGCCTGAGGCTATACAGAGTTTATAACAAACCATATATATTTTTGCATCTTGTTCTACAAGGATGCACATGCCGCTACTAATATTCTTATATTTCTTTTTCTTTATGATGATTTACAGAACTTTATTTTTCTTTTTCTCTTTATAAAAGAATATATAGGTTACGATCAAGCATGAGGATGAAGAGTGTTCTTACTGTTGCATCCCTTTTCTTTTGATTTTCCCACTCTCTTTCTTAACTTGCCTTTTTTTTTTTTAAATATATATCACTCTTTTCTCCGATTCATCACGTCCATGAACAAAACATCATCAAAAGTTTACGCTATAGATACACAGTTTTTATCTATGTATATATACTCGAAAGGTTAAATGGCTTATAAAAGGCCAAACCATGTTTTCACACAAACAAAGCTTAGTTATTCTCGTGTTAGTGAAGTCACGTGAATATATAATTTTATTGACAATCTCTTAACACATTATAGCATGTATACATGACAGGATTCTTATTCATTATGTCGTGTCTTCATGAAGACGATCCAAATCCCAAAACCAAAAGAAGATCAGGAAGAAGAGGAAACAGAAAATACTGCAAAGAATAAGGCAACTAAGTCTGACATGTGGGTCGCAGAAGAACAAGGATTAAGGGAGGATTCAAGTGGGTTTGAGGTATCTAGAGAAATGGAAATTGCAGATGAGAAAACTATGCTGAATAATAATAATCATGATGGTGAACGTTCTAATGATAATAAGTTTCCTTGCGATAATGCTTCATCTTCGGATCTCACTCAAGGCACTCCTACTCATCAACCTGGTATAGCAGATAATGATATTCAAGCCCAAATTGCTTCTGATGAAGCAAATAGTGCAGCTAATCCGTATTCCCTTGGAATTGACTATTCATCAAGTCTATTTCAGGTATCACTTTATAATTCAAAATCCATCTTTATCTGTTCACAAACATGTTTAGTCGTTTGATCTTATTGCCATGGTGGTCATTATCTAGACGTTAGCATGACTTATAATATATGTTGGGAACAAAAAAGCATGCCGGGCCATATATAGCAAGATCTGATATCATTAATTCTTGATTAAGTATATTGAAACTTTAAATAATTAATATACATATATATACTCCTCCCGTTTCTATTTATAAGAGAAATTATTACTTTTAACTTGTTCTCTTGAATATAAACAAAATTGCATTTTTCAATAGGCATTTAATACAAATTTCTTAAATTACCCTTCATAATTTTATTATTTATAATTTGTAGAAAAACTATCACTTATAAATGCTTTATATTGTAATTTAATTCTTTTATTTTCAAACATAATTAATATAACTAATTAATTTTTTTAAATTGTGTGATATAATTTTTTTTCTAGATATAAAAACGGAGGGAGTATATAACAAAGAGAAGATGGACATAAGTGAAGCCATCTAGATGTGTCTTATTATTCATTATGTTTTTCTTACAGAACACCTTAAAATGGTGAGCAATCCACATTTTTTCTTTTGAATTAAATTGATTATATATTAACTTATAAAAATATATAAATTAATCAATCATGTAATTTTCATTATTTAAGATTAATTTCATAATTGTCATACTTAATTATAATAATTTCCTTACAGTGTATTTAACTTTTCCTGTATCTCTCCTCTCATATTAATTATAACAGTCAATCTGCTTTGTTAGTTTGAAACTTGTCTCTCACACCTCAATTAATGCATAATAAATGTGTAAAACTTCCAGATCTTTAAGCCAAAACAAAAATTCACAAATGATTAATTTATTTTATACTATGTATGGTGTGGCCCACATGAAATGTCTTTGAGGTCTCTCTTTTGATCTTAAAGTAACAAAAGTTGCAAGTATGATGAAGTTCCTATCTTTTCGTAAAGCTTCCTTCTCTAAAATTCATTTGGACTGATATATACACATTCTAATTTAATTGGCTTTCCCTTCTTCACCATCTCCCATAACTTCTTTTCTTTTTGACTGACTCAAAATTAAACGTTTTTCAAAGTGAAGACATCTTTTTCCCCTCCACCATTTAACCTCATGAATCATGATCATCATCAAGTTGCTGATGATACGTTGATTTCTAAAACTAAAGTAATTTATTCCATTATTTCAAACATATCTGACTGATCTTTACCTTTAATCACAGTCTTTATATATGCTAGGTCTTTTGCCTATTTTAGCAAAAGTCATTTCATTTACTATCAACAATGATCTTCTTTTCAATTATGAGATATGAATTCTGAAGCTAGCTAACTGGCACTTCTTTTCTCTCTTTATTAGCTTTACACAATGTTCAATTTTCTTTATTAGCTTCCTTTATCTTAGTTTTTACAAAGAATAGCACTATCTATGCATCTGATTGGGGACTTCGATTTCTTCAATTTTCCCCTCTTTTTAGTCTTGCTATAAGTACAAACATCTTTTGCGCCCCACTTAACCTCAATCTAAGTGGCTAGTTCAAATTATTGACCAAGCTTTCAGTGAAATAACTCTCTAGGTTGTAGTCCTGCATTCTTCTTTGTACCCAGAGCAGAGTATGTATTATACCTGCACTCTCACCAATTATCTTCATTAATTAACTTGTTCTTATTGTTAAAGATCATAATAAAACTATTCACATCTTTCACTATATATATATATATATATATATATCAGAACTGGTCTTTAGAGAGTCATCATGAGTATTGAAGTTCAAGTCTGAGGCATAGTAAGCATAGATATGTTACTTTGAAAGAATAAATAAATAATGGAACAGTAGATCTGATTTGATGTTGTTTGGTGCAGGAAATGGAGCTCCAGATGTATGCTGGAATGCACTATCAACTTCCATATCCATCATTGGAGCTGGAAGATATCCCTCAGACAAATTTTGCAGAGACGAAGCCATTGATGAAACCTGAACAAATGATGATGAATGATTGCATGGTATACGACAAATACAAGAGCTGCAACAGTACAATGAGTGGGACTCTAGAAGAGATCATCTCCTTGTGTTGCTCTCATCAAGACTGTAACTCTTTGCCTCTCCCTATGCTAGACTGATCTATAATACCTACTAGCTAACCCTATATATGATGATATCACACTACTCTAAAGTACAGCTCCAACACTATTTCATTTACACAAAGGTATACTCGTCTTGTGGCTCTAATCACAACACAAAGCGATCTTGGATTTGTTTGTTTTTTCAAATCCAAGAAGGGCCCATATATATATGTATTGTACTAAATAGGAGTATGTTGAGTCAAGGGGGCTCGTTCACATATGTTTTTCCTTTTGTTTTCTCTCTTTGGAGGTGGGGTTTTGACATTCCTATTTATTTATTTATTTTGTTTTTCTTTTCCTATAGCCTTACATAATGTTGCTGTATCTGATCTGCTTCGGAATGCAAATGGATTAGCAAAGTTTTTTTTTAGAACAAAAATATATGTTTCAATCTACTTTTTTTTATCTTGTTGATACTTCATTTGTTATTTTTTTTATCACTGTTTATCTTAAATTCCGAACAACCACGGACTCAAACATATCTGTTGATTAATCTCAAAGCACGTGCATATAAAACAGAGATAACAAATATTGAGAATAAGCCATTGCGTAATTCGGTTTCAATACTTCTCGCGGAAGAAGTGAGAGTGGTTCGATTCTTCTTCCTGGTCATTCTCGCAATCAACGGACAGAGTGAAGCCACGTCTTTCAACTATTAAAACGCAGCGTTTCTATATCTGAATGTTTTCTCAATGGAGATGCAACCCTGACCGTTCAATTAGCCAAAATCCGGCTCTCTATTGTTTATGAATGAAAGGCCCTGCGTTTTGACGACCACGGGGGTATTGGACAAGCGCACGGGCGTAACAGTTATACAATAGACCCAATCCTTGTCTTTACTCGAATTACATGCCATCTTGGGCCTAGGTCATTTCATGTGTTGATCATGAGAGTCCATTTTCTTTTGGGCCTACACTGTTGTCATTGATAGCCCCACCTAAATTCCTAAATATCCCAACTGGTGATTGGTCCCTTATAATATAATGAATTAAGGTTTAAATTTTTGTTAAAAAAAAAGTATTTATATTTAATATTTGAAAACTTGAGTGTCTTGAATATAACTATCTTTAAAAGGATGGTACTTATGAGAAAACAAAAAAATTTCAAAGCACAAACAAGTTGATATAGTTGCTAAAAATTTGGCCCATATAACCCACAAGATTGTGGCTTGAAATTTCGTTCCCTTATGTGATTTTTTGTTGGTGGGCTATTTATAGATATATTTGTAAATATTTTTTGAGCTTTAAGATTATGCTCTAACCTTATCGAGTTTTGTCTCATCTAAATTTTTAGAAAAAAAAAATCCAAAATACCCCTAAAACCCATTTTCCAACAAGGCATCTGGTTGGGGAGGGGCAGGGCCCACCATGCATTCGTCCCTGCGTGTATAGTCATTTTCACAAACGCTTGTGATTAATTAAGCGATAAGGGACTAGCAATGTTAGTTTCCCCCTATTATAATTATACGAACTAATTAAGAGTGTCTACGTCTGATCCATGTCAAGACTGTGACAATATTTTTTTTTTAATTGAAATGTCACTAATGTTGATGCATGAATAAAAATGCATGGACAAAATGAGTGCAAAAGGCCCCACAAATGGTTTAAGAATAAGTCTTGCGCCCTCTGATTCTGCGGATAACTTCTGAGCAGATTTTTCCCTTTTTTTCGCCTGACTAAGAAGTTTAGAGTGTATTATCATATTAAAAAAAAAACACTTTGAGTCTTGAACTTTTTTTAATATTTTGGATTCTCATTTTTTTTATGTATAGGTCCCCCACTAAACAACGTTATAGGAACTATTAAAAAATAAAAATATTGAGACATAAAATATTAAAAATAAAAGTATAAGCCGACATAAAATATTGAAAAAATGTGTAAAGATTTATAATAAAATTTAAGTAAAATGCAATAACTCAAAGTCATATTTTTTCTATTTTTATCTATATGTATAATATAAACATTTTAATAAATTATATAATTTATAAATCGTGATTAATATGATTCATTTTTCAAACCCATACAATTCAGAAAAATATATTTGATAGCTTTTTTTTTTTAATTTTACCTGCTAGACTCAAACTTTATTTCCATGCACATTTATAAGAATGTATAAATTAAACGTATATGCTTTATTTTAAACGAAGACACGCAGTTGTACGAGAATATACGTGGTCTGAAAGTAACCTTTTTACCAACCAACTCCAAACTAAATGTTCCACAATGCATGGCAGAACATCTTATTTCGCTTTCTTGCAAGCAATTTTTGTTGGCATTAATATTAGTCTAACTCGTACGTACATCAATCACCCCCCCCCCCCCACACACACACACACATCCAATCAGCCCACTCAATCAAGTTTCTAGCTTTCATAAATTGAAAGGTTTAAGAAAATGCATGCAATGGTTGTAGAAAACTTCATCTTATTTTTTTGGAATTACATCACCATGGATAAAAAAAGATAGGGGAGTTGGCCTTAAAGAGCTGAAAAATCAATTTGACCTTTATCATAAAGCTTTATTGAAACCTCATCACTAGACCTAATTGTTTTTGGGTGAAAATTCTTCATAACAAATGCAAATGCAACAAATACATAATCCCGATGGTGGTTAAACCTAACTCTTGCTCTTATACTTAGAATAGTATATGTAAAATTTGGGATAAATTCATGTTTCATATTCGTTGGAAAGTTGGTAAATGGTCTTTGTTTCCAAGGCCTTTAGTTAAATATGCTTTCCATAATACCGGTTTCCACATTCTTCATGCTAGAATTTTGGATTTTTGCAATAACACAAGAGGATGAAATGTTAATATCTTAAGTTGCTGCCTTCACTCCGATGTGATAAAGAGAGCTTGCTTGTTCAACCTCCTAATCAACAGAGTGAAGATAATGTTCCTTTCTGAAGGCCTTTCTCTGATGGCAACTTTTCTATCAAATCTGCTAGTAGAGCTATGGAGACTCATGAGGATCAAAATCACTCTAATATTTGGTCAAAAATTAAAAAGTAGCCCACATATGAAAAAATTAGATACTTCCTTTAGAAGGTTGCTTGGAACGGACTACATAACAACCACACACAGACTAATGGAAATCCTCATCAATAACGTTCCTGCCCTTTTGGTTGTAACTCCTCTAACTCTTTAGTTCATATTTTGAGAGATTGTAAAGAAGCTAAAGAGGTGTGTAATAAATTGGTCAATCCTACAAAACTTTACACCTCCTTTACTCTTAGTTTGTAAGATTGGATAATTTGGAATACATAGAATGAAGCTGGTAGTTGGAACACTAAAAGAATACCCTAGCAAAGACTTTTTGCCCAAACTTGCTGAAACATTTGAAAAACTAAATGTAAAAATCTCTTCTCTGAAGATGAGACACAGGACAGTGAAATTGCTTTTTCCAACACTCAACAAATCAACAATGATTTAAAGTTTCTTTCCAAGTTAAATCACTTGAACAAAAGTGACTTTAGATATGAAGTCAAATGGAATCCTCTTGAATTTAAATAGGTTAGACTCGACATTAACGACTTGGTTGGCATAAATGGCACTGCCACTTGTAGAGATATCAACAGAAATGATAAGGGTAATTGTATTAAAGGCCCTCACGAATTTCTTGGCTACCATCTTAGCACAGCTATAGAGCTTATGAGAATTTACTAAGGTCTCAACATTTGCTAGAATGAAAAACTAAGAAATGTTAATGTCTACTCAGACTTAATGGAGGTTTTGTCACTCATCAATCACAAATACTCTAGAACTCATCCTTTATTCGACACGATCAAAAAAATTAGAGATTTTGCTATGAAAGATTGGGTGATCACCTTTGATTACGTGTATAAAGAAGTAATAATTGTGCCGATCTCCTGGCCTGTAGACTTTATTTGGAAAACTTTAAGGTTACCATCTTACATGAACCATTGGATGACTGTAAAAGACTATTGGCTTTAAACATGACTAGAACTTATTCTCATTACATGGTTTGCCGTATCCTTATATGCAAAAAAAAAAATGCATGTACTCTTTATGGGTTGCAATATAGGGCAGTAACAACTTCATGATTCTGAAGAAAAAAAAAGCTAGGTAAAAATTTTAATTTTTTGAAAAATTATACATCTTTTTAATTATATGCTCATTAAATATCTTATATAAATGCCTTAATAATGACAACTAAAATTCTAATACATCTTTTTTTTTAAAAAAAGTAGTAAATAAAATAAGGATATAATAAAAAATTATAAAATTACTTAATATCCTATATTTTGGACTAAACAGACTTCTAAAATATACTTTATATTGTGGTATGGAGTAATTTACAAATATATATTGCACATATAATGGCAATACTTAACAAAAGAATATTTTTCTCTAAAGTATTATTATATATACCTCTTATGTGATACATTGATATGTCTTACAAGTTGATAGATGAGTGAAGTTAATTACAATAAAAAATATAAACAAAATTAAAAGGTATATATGACAAATTAAAGACTGCGCTGCATGATCTAAAAGTCCCATGCTGCAAGGTCATCCATGGAGGAGAGAACGTCATAAGACATATATTCAGAGTTAAGTACACCTTCCAACAACCCAAAGTCGAAGTTATTACTTGACCCCTCCAAACAATTATTAATATTAATATTAATATTAATATTATTATTATTATCGTCTTCCCCTCTGACTTGCTCAATATTGTTATTAATACTAATATTATTTGTAGTAGAAGTAGTACTTCTCTTGTCCTTCTCTTGTTCCAAGTGTGCTTCAGTACCAATTCCTCCTTCCATTAACAATGTATGAGCTGATCTGAAGATCTGATCAGTTTCAGCATTATCATCCTGAGAAACCCATGCTGATGATGATCGGTTCTCAATAATATTCTCAGACAACCCAACAACTGAAGATAAGCAATCATGATTGTTCTTGATGATGCAGGAAGAAAAGTTGGTTGCAGGAATATTTGCATTAATAACGGATGGTTCCAAGGGGAAATTATGATGAGGCTCGAGGACATTATTACCGTTAGAGACATTATTAGGTTGTTGGTATTCGATGGAGAAAACGGCACTGGAGCTACAAGGTTGAAGATTGATATTATTCTCAGGTTCATGAATCAGTCTGAAGATGGAACCATTGTTGTTATGACTGTTAGTGGCAGAGGAAGAAGAAACAGAAACAGGAAGAGAGGATCGTCTATGAGAAGAGAGAAGATTGTGAGTTTGCGGATCGAAGCCCTGAGAAATGAGTTTCTTCTTAATACATGAGTTCCAGAAATTCTTCACCTCGTTGTCTGTTCTCCCAGGTAGATGCTTCGCTATCTGAGCCCATCTGCAACCACACAAAATCCTTCATTCACTTGAATATATGCATTATATATATGTATGCATATGTATGAATGTGTGTATGCAGTGTATGCACGCACGCACGCACGCACGCAAAATCTTATGCGTATAGTGTAATCTTCTAATTCGGATCAAGGAACGACGTCAACCATGAATTTAGAGTGTCTGCTTCTCTTTTTATGCTCAAAATTGCAGCCCTTCATTTTAGCCCATCAAATAAAATTACTCTTCCCATTAGCTGAAAAGAAGGGCTGTGATTTTGACCATTAGGGAGCAGTGCGCAGAGAAGGCAGCAAACTCCGAAATCCATCGAACATAGTATGAGAAAAACCAAACAAGTAAGAGCAGTCACTAATGAACACTTAAAAAATAATAATAATAATAATAATAATGCACGATCTCTCCTTCTTTCATATTGGACCTTAATTTCAAATACATTATTACGAGTACGAAACTTACAGGTTTTTTTCCCCAAAAATTTAACTTAGCACACTCATAATTTGCAATGCACTGACCGTAGTTAACAGTTTTAAACTTAAGACTCGCTCAATGTTTGACATTTCTAATTGCATCAACTGATATGAATACAATCTTGCGATTATACTGATACAAGTCATAACAAAGATCTGCTACAACACGCAATGGTATAGATGAATAATAGACCACACATAAAGATTAAATCCTTTGTGAAGTGACTCAGAAGCAATTAATTATTTGCATTTGCATGTGATATGGCAGCTACAATCAAAACGGTCCAAAAGATTGTAATAAAGTTTTTGAGAGATGAAAGCTATGGATGTGTTACCTATTTCCCAGAATCCTATGAACGTCAATAATGGTTTGTTCTTCATCGGCAGTGAAAGAACCTCTTTTGAGGTCAGGTCTCAAATAGTTTATCCATCTTAATCTGCAACTTTTCCCACATCTCTGCAACCCTACACACATATATAATATCAACGAATTAATGCATCACAAGATATATATATATATATATATATATAAGGTGGTAATAAAGAATATGTGAGAGAAAGAGAGAGAGAGGATATATACATGTGGTACCTGCAAGTTTAGGAACAGAACTCCAACTTTTGTGGCCATGAGTGGAAATGAATTTGACGAGCTTGTCATCTTCTTCAGGAGACCAGAGACCTCTTTTGATCTTCTGTTTGCTGCAGCAACGATGTCCCATCGATCTCACTCTTGAATCTTGATCTTCTCACTCTACTCACAATACTCTTGCCGCTCTTGGACAATATACAATTTAGCATCCCATCTGAGCATTTATATATAACAGCACACATTATTTTAATTCATTTAATCATATAATTATAATAATAATAATAATTAATCCCACGTACATCCAAGCCCTAACATTTCCTGGTACTTACTGTCCAATACAAGTAAAGGTCACACAGAGGGATACGCAAGTGCATGGACAATTCAATTCCCTGTGTTGTTCTAAAAAACTTGAATATAACTATTGAAAGAAGCTTTTGTTATGTATCATTCTTTCTCATTATGAAAATTTTATCCTACTTTTCTTTAAAAAAAAAACTCTCTGTAATTAATTAATGACTGATAGAAAATTATGATTGGGTCAAATAAAGGACATTTGCTATTTTTAAACAAAATTTGAGTTCAAATCTTGTGAGAGAAAAATCAATCAGGTTTCTTTAGAATTCAAATGTAATTTTATATCAAAAATACAAAACTTATTTAGCCAAACAAAAATAACAGTCAGCTCACATGATAAAAAAAATATCAAGATTGATATATAATTAGTCAAGAATATTAATCAAGATTATAGAGTATGCGCCTATCCAAGAAACAAATAATTAAATGAATAAACAGAAAGAAAAGTTAAGAGAAAAGAAAGAATGAAACGGTCCCATTATGTTATCATGAAATGAGAAATGAGCTGGAATCGAAACTTCAGGTTCACTCATGAGAAGCTGTCTCTCTCAAACGTCTAATTGAGTGTCTTTTACATATTAACGAATTAATATTCATTTGAAGAGTAATTCATGAGATAATTATTTTTATTGAAAATTAAAGCGCACTAGACTAGAGTCTTTAATATATATTACCCCCGACAGTGCCCAAATATATATAATAACTTCATCAAGAAGCATTTACAGCTTAATCGATCTCCCAACGCATTCATGAATTTGCAAAGAAAAAAGTAATCTCGAGGAGTCACAATTACGCACTTACATGAGAATTGTCAACAGAAGGGAAAAACATGAGCGTGGTGAATAATTGATTATATTCAGACTCACACGTAAGACTATGGAAAAAACACACATTTTGGGATTTTGGGGTCGTAGATTAAGTCCACTTTGGTGGGTCTTTCAACTCTATAAGAAACTATATTTTAACGACTGAGAATAATTTGGTTATCTTAGTAATTGGTCCTATATATTGGACCGTACAAGTTAGGTTACCTTTATATTCATACCAAATATTACATCTGTGTTTATTTATAAATCATCTTTAATTAATTCATATAAATGAAGAACACAAATTCATGTGTAAACTTAGAGCTGTCAATAAAAACAGGATCTTTTAAATTACCCGTTTAAGCCCTGCATTTTTTGAGGGCCGGGTTTCGATAAAAGAAAAAATTTTCTCATAAAAAGACTTTCAAGCTCCATCCTTAAATTTTTTTTTTTTTAAAGAATGGGCTTGAGTTAACCCTTTTAGACCTTGCATTTTTTTCTCTGTTTTTTTAAATTAGCATGTGAATTGAAATGGTTGAAAATTATTTAGTTAAAATAGTTGATATTACAAAATAACATGGTTGAAATTGTTTAGTTAATTTTTATTTTTGAATTGATATATGAAAATGAGAAAATTTTTTAAATTATATATCAATATAATTAAAATTTAAATAAAAAAATTATGCAGCCTTTCAAGATTAGTCTCAAGCTTTGGCAATGAGGGTGGAGCTTAATTAAAACATGGTCAATTTAAGAAATGCAGACTTATAGATCTGAATCTTTAAAAACTGAACTATCTTTTATAGACTTAAATGGTAACATTCATAGCTGGTATATTTTTATTATTTACAAGATTCGGAGTGCAGACTTTGTTTAAAGAATATTGAGTCACTTCCGTCAATTTTTCATCTGCTGTTAATATAACTTCAATAGTAAACAGAATAATTATCATAATAGCTGCTTATAATGATAGCCGTGGAAATTGTCCATATATGGTCCCTCTGAAGAAAAATTATTCATTTAACCTTTCAAATCATTTGTACTTTTAATAATCTTTCTTACAATCATTATGGTTTATTTTGTAATATTCTCCTAATCTATTCACGAGGCACCAAGAGGTCGGAATATACAAGGGAAAAGGACTAAACATAAGTAAGTGAACTATTAATTTCCCCTTCAAAATAACCAGAATTCCAATAATTTAATCAATCATGACAATAGCTCATGAAACCATGCATGTGAGTTTGATAAACCCTTATGATGGTTAATACAACAATTATTGTTGTTGTCTTGCCCCCACAAAACGATGTATTTGTGTGTTGTTACGTGTTCATTGAGAAAGTTTCATAATTTTTATTTCTGATTTAATTAATTTTAAATAAATTAGTTACAATCCTTCCGGGCCTTGGCTTTTCGTTTTGTTATATGAATCACAATGGTTGCTTAATTCCTGGTCAATTCATTAACCTGACTGCGATCCGTGACAGTAATTGAAAAAAAATGGGAATCAAAATGAAATTATAAATACTATATATTATTGACATGACATATCACAATGTTGTGATGAATCTTTTACCATTTATTTATTGATGACAATTCAGTAATGCCCCCAAGAAAACAACGTCCCATATAATGCCCCCAAGATAGATAGCTAGCAAGAAACAAGAATTTCTTTATATATAATATGGTAATCACGTTGGTGTTTATATTAATTTATAATTTTACAAGGACCTCAATCGAATTCTTTCGCAGGTTTTTGAATATATGTATGTATGTATGTATGTGATGAATGACAAGAGAAATAACGAAGAAGATAGGGCTTGAATTTTAGATTTAGTACAAATATGATGATAATCATCTTCATCATAGCCTTGATATATATGATATATATATATATATATATATTACTATCTAACTAGATCAGATGTTGGACTCAATTAGGGGTAACTTTCCTGAAGATGTTTTATGCATTATTCACACAGACTTAAATTCAAGACTTCATATGTGAGCCGGTCATAATTCCTCTATATGTAAGTGCTCTTAAAGGAACGTTCTTGTAGGCTTTTTTATTTTATTTTTTTATTTTTTATGGTAGTGACACATTACTTCACTGTTGAGACGTAAATTTAAGAAAGTTATTTGCATTAACATGCATATATATCACTTTGATTAGTAATTAGTTAATAACAAGATATCATTTGCACATGGCCTCACTTTATTTTCAGTGTTAAATTTTAATATGGAAAAGGATATTTTATACATAACTCAAAACTCAAGAAGTCATATATAGATGAAAATTCTAGAGCTGCAATTTTTTAGGGGTCGGATACATATATGCAGAGATCTTGGCATACTCTTAGTCCCTTTCTAATAGTGTTTTAGTTCTTTGACAAAGCCATATTGGTCTCTTGTTGAAGTCATTAAACTTTACATTCCACAAGAATTGTCTCTGTGATTATTCTGTAAGAAACCTTAATTATTCCAATCTGATCTGATCCAATATTATTTCTTAGTTTCTTATGAATTTTGGGTAACCCATTTGTTTGACATTAACCCTTCAGAGCGCCTTATGTACATATTTATACACATCCTTGGGTCGATGTTTTCTTGTCTGAATGAATGAAAGTTTTTTTTTTTTCTTGTTGCAGTTATTATCAAAGATGTTAAGCAAATTCAATTCACTTTTTAGGGAAAAAAACATTTGTTATTATTTCCACTGCCAATTCAATTTCTTCTGCAATACAAAAATGTCCTGGGGTCTTACATTAGAAATTATAATATTATATATATTCAGTGAAGTGGACGATTTGTCTAGTGTTTCTAATAGGAGTTGAAAGCTTCACGAATACTAGACTTCATTATAATAGAGTGTGAGTGAATATAGAGGTAAAGCAAAGATAATAACAGTTTTTTCAACCCTCAAGAAGAAGAAAAGGTACAGATATAATCATAATTAAAGAGATAAGGGTTCAGGTGAAGTGTTGGAGTTAATAATCAATCTTGCACTTCAAAGATATTCTAATTTGTGTGTGTGTGTGTGAGAGAGAGAGAGAGAGATCTTTCCAAATTTGACTAATAAACAACAACACTCTAACTAATACTTCTGTGCGTTCTTCATGTTACCAGAACCACTATGACTTTCAGGCTCTTCGTCCCCCTCCTTTCTCTCTCTCTCTGATACATCTCTCTCTCCTCTCTTAGTTTCTTTTCTTTATAGTTTTTGGGTCGACACTATGACCTGGATGGGTCCAAATTGTTGTTGTTGGGCTTTTTTTGAAGTTGTCTATCTATATTTAAATTGCCTTTTTTTTAAGTTCTTAATAATGATATGGTATTGTTAATTTAATTGTATATGTCTTGTTAATTTAAGATTATTTATTCCATAAAAAACTCTTGTCATTAATATTATTAACATATTAAAATACACTTGTTTTGATTTAATTAAATAAAAGTATATCAATTATATAAAGATAAATACCTAAATCATGCCCATCAAATAATTATAATTTTTAACCAAAAAATACACTTAAGCCCGTATAAAGAAAAATTTTATATCAGAAATCTGTGCAATAATAATTTAGACTATAGTATGAGTTTCTTGTCCCATGGGAATTTTAAACTTTGATGACCTTGAGACGAAATTAATTACTCCTAATTTTTTTGCGTGAAATATTAATTATATGTTCTGATCAACACCGTTAATTTATCTTTTTTAAAATGAATCAGAGAGAAAAATATTCCTGAAACTCGAGTAATCAGACATATATGTTAGGCAATATTGCAAAACGCTTGATTTGCTAGTCTCAGAGCGCATGATGTTTTTTCCCCCAACAGATACACTCTTTGATTTTTTTTTTTTTTTTTTTGGGGGGGGGACTGAATAAATATTCCATTAAACGACGAAAGCAACGGAACAGTAAAAATAACATCACATCAAAGGACCAGGGTGGGCCAGGTTGTGATTTATCAATGCAATAAAAAAAAAAGGGCGTAAACGACACAACGTCACACCAACCACGCATGACCAACTATTCATGAACAGGAAACTAAAGCAAATAAAATCACACAACCATCGAAGCTAAAGAAAACTTGACACATCAAGAGACACCATCATTCCTGGTCTCCAACAAAGCATAAGCCTTCAATGAGTCAGCCACCATTGATTGTTTGTCCCATAGTTGCTAGAAGAAACAGGAGGCGAGTTTGGTGATTGCTGAGGATCTGGACTTGAAGGAACAGGTCTCTTAACGTTATAGTTTAAGTTAGAACCGTATAATTTATTAGAAGTGAGAGGAGGTAAATCAGGTGAACGTTGATGATTTAGACATGAAGGAACAAGCCTCTTGATGTTGTAATTCAAGCTAGAATCATATATTTTGTTAGAAGTGAGAGGAGGCAAATCAAGTGATTGTTGAAAACGTGGACCTGAGGGAACAAGTCTCTTGATGTTATTATAGTTCAAGTTAGAACCATATATTTTGCTAGAAGCAAGAGGAGGTGAATCAAGTGATCGTTGATGATTTGGACTTGAAGGAACAAGCCTCTTGATGTTATAGTTCAAGTTAGAACCATATACTTTGCTAGAAGCGAGAGGAGGTGAATTAAGTGATTGTTGAAAACTTGAATTTGAGGGAACAAGCTTCTTAATGTTATTATAGTTCAAGTTAGAACCATATATTTTGCTAGAAGCAAGAAGAGGTGAATTAGGTAATTATTGAGGATTCGGACTTGAGGGAACAAGTCTCTTGATGTTATAGTTCAAGTGAGAATAATATATTTTGCTAGAAGCGAGAGAAGGTGAATTAGGTGATTGTTGAGGATCTGAACCAGAGGGAACAAGTCCAATAATATTATAGTTCATGTTAGAATCATATAATTTGCTAGGAAGGATAGAATGATCACTCACAACAAGAGAGACAAAGAGAAAGGAGAGAAAAAAGGCAAATGAATTTTGGAATTTGTCATATTGAGTTTACAAACCCAACTTAGTGATATGAAAGTGTGTGGATATATCTCTCACTAATATGGTCTATATATAACACTATCACTGCCAACTAATTATTTAGGGCATGTGCAAATTCTGCGAGTCATTTTTGTTTGTGATTTTTTTTTTATATCTATCACTGCCAACTAATTCAAATCTGTTCATTGTAGGAGCCTCAAATAAGGCGAGGTTGATCAAAGTTAATGATTCTATTTTTTTCGGTGGTGAAACCTAATGATTCAATTTTTTTTATTTAAAGTTTTACCCATAAAAGCTTCAAATTCATTGAACCTTTACGAACTAATTAGCGGATGAACTCGAATATGTATGAACACCCTACACACAAGTAATAACTAATAATTGAATGCTAATAACAATTTTAAATTATCAGACTTTATTTTTATTGTTTGGAAGGAGAATTTTGCTCTATTCGCAAAAATAATAAACAAACTAGGTAATTTATTTTTTCTTTTTTAATTACATTGCTACATCATATGAACAACTAAACGAAAAAAGATCGATGATAGAGAAGATAAGAAGCCTATTTAAATTTGAGTCTTTTAGGCTTGGCCCATATTAATTAAGACCCATGAATCATTTTATTTTGAAATTAACAATTAACTTTTTTAAAATTTGGTTATTATTTATCAAATTTAGAGTTGGACTTGAAAGTTAATTTTTATTTTTTGTTTTTAAAAATTTTATAAATTAAATTTGATATTAAAATATTACATATACATGCTCTAAAGTATAAATTAAAATAAGTAATACAAGTTATAATTTTAAAAACCAAACACATATTTTAAAAGTTTATTCTAGCCTAAAATAAATTTAGGTTTAAATGTGTTGCCTAAGCCCTAGCTCAGTACTTTTAGGATTAAATGGGTTAGGTTGAAAAACTATCTTATACTAAAATACATTAATTTTCAAAGCTTCAGAGAGAGGGGGAAAAAGATTTAAACTAATAACTCTCATTTCAAAGGAGTTGATTATGATATGGCAAAGAGGAGAGGAAGAAAAATTGAAGAGCCACTTTTCATGTGAATTAATTAATGGATAAAACTTATGTACTTAGATTTATATGTTTAATATATTTATATCCAATCAAATAATGATAAGTGGATCCTAATGTGTTAATTAAATTAATAATAAGAATTAAAGTCGGCAGTGGCAATCCGATCTCCTGCGGCGCTAACATTTTGGTCACAATTGAAGTCTTCAGTTTGATCTTGGTAGTTGCTGGTGGTTCGATCCCAATAGTTATTGGCTATTTAGTCTTGGTTGGCACTGGTGGTCTGATCACTGTCAAACTTAGTCATCCATTCTCAATCGGTATTAGTGGTCTAGTCCTGGTTGGCACCATTGATCTTGACCTGATTGAAGTCTTTCATCGAATCTTAATAGTTGCTAGTGATCCGGTCTTAGTCAGCCCTGACGGTTTGATCCCGAGTGGCTCTAACAGTCTTGTCCTTGTTAGTATTGGTTGTCAGGTCTCAATTACGCTGGCTATTCAAACTTGATCATCACTAGCATTTCGGTCTTGATAGTCACTTGTTGTTTGGTCTATATTAAAGTTTGTCGTTTGGTCTCAATCAACACCAATAGTCTAATCCCCATAGAAGTTGACTGGAGGTAGTGGTATTGAAGTTGAAAAGGTAGTGAATTCGACAAATGAAACAAAGGAAGAGGGAGGCTTCCTTGAAAATTTGAAATATAAAGGCTTAGAAAGAATTTAAGATTACAAATAGACTAAGGCAATGTTTAGATTTTGATTTGAGTGAAATCCAAATTCACACATTTTTAACTATCCAAACAATGAATTCAGTTCAAATCTAAATATACATGCATCCAAATATAACATCAATAAGTTTAAAGTGATTCAAATAAGACAAAAAGAGTTAATGACAAATTAGATGAAATCAATATGAGGTGGGATGATTTTATTGGCAAATGTACAGATGACATGCATGGTACTCCTAGTATACCTAAGAGAACCCATAGGAAATAGAATTGCACTCATTACATAAAACTACCAAGTCAATTTATTATGATAAACTGAACTAAAATGGAGAAGATAGTACAAGGTTCACGCCAAAGAAATCTAAGCATTATCACAGTAGGAATTCAAAGCCCTGCTCTCTCTTCATAAGCAAATCAACAAGAATGTTTAGAGACTCAGAGTTCAGCACAAAAAGGATCCAGGTTACTTCATTACTGATATAAATACTTGAGTTTAATATATAAATACTTCATTGCACATTTCTCCCTTCTTTCCTCACCTGTTGATCCATTGTATCACATAGAACAATTCCTCTGGTTTCTGGTAAGCATAGAATAGAAGAAGCACTGCCTAATATCATAACCCCAAATATGCCATAAGAGAAAAAGTCATTTTTCCTTCCTTGTGATATCAAAAATGGGCTGAATATGGCTCCAAATACAATGGCCTGCCTCGCCATCGATGTTGCAGTGTTCCTTACACTTGTGGGAAACAGCTCTATCACATATATCAGAAACACATTGAAAGCTGTACCTACACTGAAAAATGACACCAAAGAAAGCCATAGCTTCACTGTATGAAGCTCATTTCTTATCACAGCACAAATCAAACAACTAATCCCACTTGCTATGGAGAAACCTAGAATTGAAGGCTTTCTTCTGCAATTATCCAACAAGTAGGTGGCTATAAAAGCCGGTATGTCTAATAAAGCATTAAAGGCAGTGCTCAAATATATGTTGACTCCCAAGTTTCCCACGTTCAAAGGCACGCCAAAATATACCATTCCAATTCCAAAACCAAGTATCATAACTGTCACAACTCGTTTAAGAGCCCAAGTTTTTCCAAACAGTTCCCTGATCGATGAGTAGAGGTTCAAAATTGAAGCATTTTGTTGTTGGGCGAGTACTAATAATTGGGTTGAAGTCACAGTCCCACCAAGTCCTGATGAAGTTAAAGTGATTCCTTTGAGCGTAGCCATGGCTTCTTTTTCTCGACCTTGCATGAGAAGCCACCTAGGAGACTCTGTAACAAAAAGATAACCAAAGATAGAATAGAAAATTCCAGGAATTGATGTCCATAGGTAAAGAGACTTCCATGAGGAATCTTTATTAACATAAGCTATACCAGGCAGAGATAGAAATCCTAATGTGAACCAAATATACTCAAGCACTCCAACTCGGAACCTCCACTCTTTACGCACTCTCTCTGTCAACAAAACCAGGGAACAAGTTCCGATCGAGGAGCGGCAAAATCCAATCAAAAACTTGAAAGCCGAGTAAACCCAGACATTGGGGGAGAAGACAATGATGCTTGAAGCAATTGACATGGTTAAACAAGATAGAAACAAAACGTTCTTCCTGCCAAGAGATGAATCAGCAAAGGTGGCGAAAAGAAACCCAGCAACTAAGCACCCCATGAAGAAAGAAGATTGTGGTAAACCTGTAATGAAAGAACTACCACATTCAAGGTTCCACTGAGATATGATTGTCTTAGAAGAGAGTCCATCCCAGGACCAAGTAGATCTTGGAAGTTTGCAGATGTCGGAATTTTTTGGGTCACAAGTGATGTGATCGGTGGAAGTACAGTGCCACGGTGGGTGAGCATCGGTGAAGATGGTGATAAATGATTGTTGTGCATCGAAGAACATTGTGAAAGACACAAGAAGAGATTGAAGGAGTTGTCTCCACCCGAAGTCTCCAAGACTTTGCTCTATCAGATCATCCAAAGATGGAAGTGAAGCTTCCCTCCCTTTTGAATCAGACACGGGTGAAGTTTGGTTTGGCTCTACCATTTCTGTGAAGTTGTTTTGGTAGTCTTAATTATAAATACATACATACATACACTCATCGGTCTGCCACCCTTTGCAAAATTTTAAAAATTATGCAAGGATTTTCTGTGAAATTTCTCTTCAATGAAAAAGAGCACTTGCTATAATGTGTTGATAGTACTGGAAGAAAGAAAATTAAACTAGGTACGGGGAAAATTTATATCAAAAATGAATGTTAACATTTTTCGAAAATATATTTTTAAATATTTACGAATTTAATATACACATAAATAATTAATATACTAATATACAAAGTATCACAATATATACAAAAACTATAATGAAAAATATATAATTGTTTTAACATAAGCGATACCTCTTTGTCCCCCCCCCCCAAAAAAAAAAAAAAACATAAGCGATACCTAATGTTGAAAGTGATGCAATATTAGGTAGTAATTAGTATTAAGTGTTAAACTATACTTTGTATTCACCCAAAAAAGAATTATACAATTTTGTCAGTAATTTTATAACAGAATAATTTAACTCTCTTGAATTAAATCGAACTATTTGTAAGAATTTCATTTTTATTTTGATTTTTTCTAATGAATAAAAATACAGTCGGAGAAGTCTAAAAATATTTTTTTTTATTTGTGAAATATTTAGAAAATAAATAATATATATCATTATTCTTTGAGACCAAGATCTAATTTAAATATTTTATAAAATATTTTTATTGCAAGGATGCAGTTGAGAATTGTTCAAATTAAATTATAACAGTTTAAAATTTATTTATCTATTTTTTTATTATTTAATATTAAAATAATGTTGTTATATAAAAAATATTAAATCTCAAACATTAAAAGTTGATGATCCAATGTTGAAGATAAGAAGTAGAGAGGAAGTTGATCCAAAGCTAATCCAAAAAAAAAAAATTTCACAATGATAACAATTAATAGCACATGAACGTTAATAAACTGGCCCTAAAATTTGATTGACATCTGTATTACTATTAGCAAAGAAAAACGGCGACAAATAAACCATGCATTAGAAATGTTAAAGTAAAATGTGAAAGAAAAACTGCGAATGTATAAGTAGAACAGAATGCAACCCAGAAAATGATTGTCCCAGATTTCTTCACGTTCTTACAACTTCATCTGTTCAACTACAGAAGAAAATTTTGAAAACAATTAAAGAGCGATTTAACTGCAAATAAATCTCACCAAACATAACAATCTTGCTAATACAATGAAGATAAGAGACAAATTAAGAAGACGACCTTGATGAAATTTAAGTGGTAAAGACCTTGATTAATCATGAGGCTTGAAGAAGCAGGGACTTGTGAGGAACAGAAACGAAGACCTTGAAAGTTGACATAATGCAGTGCACAAATCAGGAACAATTCATTATTGATGTCCATGTAATTTTAATAATGATTTAAATATTTTAAATCAATCGACTTTAAAAGAAATCAGAGAGACAAACATATTTTGCATAACTGAAAAGGCATTTTTGTATGGCTACAGTACAAAAGGTGTTTATCTACATTCAAATTTAAAATTAAAAAAAATCACATCCAATCTCTTATTAAAAAAATTAATCACAGATAAGAATTAACAATAAGACCTATTTAAAAATAAATAAATCATGTTTTCATTTTAATAATAGTTCATTCTGCATTGATTCTTATTTGTGATTAATTTCCTTGAGGAGGGCTGGATGTGATTTTCCCATTAAAAAAATAGCAACCAGTAAATTAAAAATGACTTTTTTTGTTTACATGAATAATAAATTTATCATGATTCGTGATTTTATTTTAATATTCATTATTGATGTTCATGTAACTTTAATAATAATTTAAATATTTTAAATCAATTGACTTTAAAAGAAATCAGAGAGACAAGCACACATTTTGCTTAGGGGGAATTACACTACAGGCTTCAAAAGAGGAAAAAATTGCACTATAGGCTCAATAAATTTTGTTATTGCACTCTAGGTCTAAGGGACCTTGTTGCAATTTTTCTTAAAAGTAAAAATATAATTTTGCCCTTATATAATTTGAAAACTCAGATCATACACAATTCAATGTCTATTAATGCACAACATAATATCTATGATGCATAACACAATATCCATGTGTATGTATAATTAATCAATAGATTTAATAAATTGCACAAGTGACACACACAATATACAACATAATATTTATGAATACACAACATAATGTTCATATATTCTTAACTAAATATTCATGCATTGGCACACATAAATATTGTATTGAAAATTCATGAATATAGTGTTGTGTATCCATGAACATCGTATTGTATGTGCAAATAAATATGGTCAATATTATGTTGTATATTCATGAATATTGTATTATGCATCATGAACATTGTGTTATACATGATTTAAGTTTTCAAATTATATAAAAGCAAAATTATACTTTCTATCCCAAGAAAATTTATAACAAGGGCCTTTAAGCCTATAGTATAATATCAAAATATATTGAATTTAAAGTAAAAATTTTTGTTGATTTAGGGCCTGCAATGCAATTCTTCCTTTTGCTTAACTGAAAAGGTCTTTTATTTCAGCTATACAAAAGGTATTTTTATCTGCATTCAAATTTAAAATAAAAAAAAATATCACCAAGCAAGTTAAAAATGACATTTTTTTTGTTTACGTGTATAATAAATTTATCATGATACGTGATTTCATTTTAATATAGTAGTGCTATATTAATATTATTGTTGTGTATACTGTAAAAAAGTCAAATTAAAATAAAAGGATCCAGCAAAAATAAGCCGTATTTATTTTTTATTTTTTAAATAATAAAACATCTTTTCGTGAAGGACTACTCCTTAGTCACACATGTCTACAAAAGGGAGAATAATATATATTTCCTCCATTAAAAAATATAAGACATTTTTTGAGAAGTTAGGTATTCAAAAATGTAAAGCATTTTGAATCTTTTGAGTTTTAATTATTGTCTTCTTTTTAAAGTACCCTTATTAATAATAAATTTATATTTATTATAGAATGTTTAATAGGGATGAATATGAAAAGATAAGGTTAGTTTGAAAGTAAATAACTATTTTATTGGGAGTGAGATTCAATTAAAAATATTTTATATTCTTGAACAGAGGGAGTAGGTCTCAAAGGATCAATTAATTTAAAGTATGTCCCAAAGTGCTAAACTCCATAAATTTATAAGTTTGATTCGGCTCTTAATTTTGTAATTTCGTTGTGATGAATTTATAATTTATATTTTAAATTTTAACAAGAAAAATAAATTTATTTATTTTTTAATCATGTTAAAATTTTAAAAATAAATTATAAATTTATCATAATGAAATTACAAATTGAAAACTGAATTTAAAAATTTTTAAAGTTTTGCATGTTGAGACTTACTTTAAATTAATTGATTTCCTTAAAGTTTATCTGTCATTCTCTCCCCATAAATTCTTCAAACCAGATATTTTTGTACTTTAAAGAAAATACTAATTAATTTATTCAAATAGCAGGTAATCATATGCGGATTATGAATATTCTATAGTAAAGGAGTCATTCTATCCAAAATAAATAAATAAACAATAAGGAGTCATTCAATTCACAAAAATTTGTTTTTATATATTTTCTAAAATGAGAATCCAACTCCCTGGCCAAAAAAAATCTGAAGAATATACTAATATTCAAACGTGACGTATGTCATATGTTTACTAATTGACAAGGACGACAATATCACTGAATTAATTATGATTGATCTTGATTTGTGTTTTACAGGGAAATCACGTCTTCACGAGGAAAAAGTGGAAATCAATATGTCTATGATGTTTCGGCCTTTTTTTTGTAAAAAAAAGATCATGCCTAAGAGTAGGACGGCCGGCCCATTATGGTTTGGAAAAAAAAAAGGTTGGGCCCATCATTTTTCAGTGAATCAGAATTTTCACAACACAAGCCGCCAGGAAAAAATTGGTGAGTTGTGAAGTATACTACTACTTGTTAGTCATTTTTCCATGTTAACTTATGAACTAAGTGTTTGTTAATAGTATTGCAGTAGTTCTAACTCTAACTATAATATACTTTTTATTTTTGGTGATATGATAATTACCTGATAGTCAATCAAAGTAGTTAATGACAAAAGTATTTTGATCTTTTACATAACTAAAAAATAACATTTATCTTTTGATATTTATTTTAAATTATTTTCTATAATTTTTTGAATTGAATGAGAACATTACATTATAAAAAAGTTTTAAAATACCAACAAATGGTTGTGAGGCAAGAATGTCCTTTAACTACACACACACACACACACACATATATCCTCTGTTGTTCTCCACATTTCCATTTGAACAAGGTATCAGAAAGTTGCCATTAATTCTTACTAATTCTTGTCATTTATTTTTTATTACAATAATTTTCAGTGAGGAAAAAGTGCTTAGTTCATTAAATTCATATGTAAAATAATTGGTTTTGAGCAAAATGTAGCTCCATATCAGTTGGCACTAGCTACAATTGCAAATTACAAAGTTTAACTTTATTTTACTTTGAATAGAAAGTTGATCATATTTTCAACACTTGTACATACTTGTGTGATACATGTACTTGCGTGTAGGTTTAACACAACATATTGGGAATATTCCTGATCTTGAAGTATTTTTATAATTTAGAATCATCCATTGTACAATATATATAGCCATCGGAGAATAATTTGTCACTGCAATCTTATAACACTTGATTTCCACAAGCAAATGATTACGAGTAACATTGAAGTTAAGAAAAGGATGCTGCTACTTCATTATTCAGAAAAGTTCAATGAGAAATTAAACACAATATGCTCTAGAAATAAAAAAGCTTCTCAAAATAGAGTTCCAAAACATCCACTAGTAGATCAAAGAAGGCGACTTTTCATAATTTAGACTGCAACAAATTAAGCCAGCCTCTTCAATTCATCCCATAGTTGAAGGTTGAAAAATAGCTTCATCGAAAGCAACAGGTGGTTTTTGAGGTGATTGCTGAGAATTTGGACCCGAAGGAACAAGTCTCTTGATATTATATTGCATAATAGAACCATAGTTGCTAGAAGTGATTGGTGGTTCTTCTGGTGATAGTTGAGGGTTTGGACCCGAAGGAACAAGTCTTTTGATATAATGGTTCAATTTAGAATCATAGTTGTAAGAAGCAATAGGTGGTGATTCAGGTGAATGAGCAGAATTTGGACCTACAAGAAAACAAGTCTCTCATAGTTAGAGTTAGAACTATTATTGCAATACTGTTAAAAACAAAAGGCAACACATTGATAAAAAGTTAGCATAGAAAAATGAATAACAAAGACCAGTATAGTGCTTCATAATTTATGAGTTTACTGAGAGACTCGGAAAATTTAATCAGGCTAGAAATTAAATAAGAAGCCTCTGATCTTGAAAGTCAAACCTGAAGGAACACGCCTCTTGATTCCATAGTTGACATAAGGACCATAGATGGAAGAAGTAGAAGATGATTTCTCAAAACTTGAGAGACTCAGGCGATCGCTCACAACCAGGGAGACGAAGACAAAAGAGACAGCACAAAATAAAACAACCTTTGAGTTTGCCATATCTTGCTCTGTAATACGAAACCCTAGCTAGTAAGATTGCATGCCAAGCAATCTCAATATTCTATATTGTATTGCATATATAGTACTATAGCTGGTGTTAAGGGATCACTAATTTCTCATATTATATTATATTATTTATACATTAGTCATCGTGATTTTCGGATGAAAGATTTGGTGTCTCAGTAATTAGGATGCATATGCCAATAATCCCATAAGTGATTCTGTAATAAATTGTACAAATATTTGAATAATTATGTTGAATCAATTCATGAAATCATATTTAAATAATTTTTTATTATTATACTTGTATTTAAATGAGCGGCACAAGAAAATGTGTGAAATCTTACAGTCTCTCTTTGTTGGCAATATCAATGAATTTAATTAGGGTATCAATTGTCATTACTTTCCTGTAATAATTTTTAAAATTAAAAGGATTGAGCTTGATTTTTGAATTTGATTGAATATTGTACTTTTTTATATTTTAAATATTCTATTTTATGTTTTATAATAACTAAATCATGGGAAATATTTTTCTTAAAAATGACAAACTCAATGAAATATGCGGTATTCTCCGAGGACATACATGTATGAATGGTCATTAATCTTTTTTATAACTTTCAGAAAAGGATGGATTGAGTAAATATTCCCTTTGACTGATTCAAATTGTTCATATCTCTTTGCGTGATTAGTATGGTACTTCAAATATACATACACATTAAGCAAGGAGATATAGAGTGGAAAATACAGGCCATCCAATTTAATTACCTGTTTAAGTCTATTCTTGAGACTTAAACTTCGGGGATTGAAGGATTTTTATTAAACTAAGCCCAGTTCTCTTAAATAAACTCTAAAAAAATGGACTTGGACTCGAGTGATTTGTTTAGGCTCATATATTAATTCTTTTTTGGGTGAAAAAGCCCGTATAAATTTTAATGTCCCTGAAAGATTATGGTATTTTATATCTTTGAATTAAATTCAAACTTTATAAATACATTTTGTATTTTAAAATTATAATTTGCATTACTTGTTTTAAAATTTTTAATATTCTAATTTATACTTTAGAACATTAATATAAATATAACAATGATAAATTTAATTCAAAAAATTAATCTTTTAGTCCTTAAATTTTTAATTCACTTGCAATTCAGTCTCTCAAGTATGACTCGTTATAATTTAATTTTTCAATTATAACTCGTTGCGATTCAGTTTCTAAACTTTTGACTTACTTATAACTTGGTCTTTATTTTTTAATTTTTTAAAAACATTATTCTTATCAAATAAAAGGGATAAAATAAATCCTCATATCTTACTTTAAAATACCCTGCTCTTACTCTTTAATGTAAGATTTAAACTAGTATAAAAAAAAAAACCCAACAAAAGTTGAGAGATTAAGTCATAAACGAGTCAAAAGTTGATGGACAAAGTTATAAACGAATCAAAAGTTGAGAAATTGAATTGTAATAAGTCACACTTGAAGGATTGCGTTACAAGTAAGTTAAAAGTTAAAGGATTTAAAAATTTAATTTTTTTCAATTTAATTTAAAAAATAACAATAAATAACAATGATCTTCAAGAAATGATCAATTTGAAAATAAAAGGATTTCTTGACCTTCCACCCGTTTCCAAACTCGAAGTAAATGGGCTTAATAAGTAAGCAGGGGATAGAATATTGTCATTCTTCCTTATTATTCTTTCACAGCCACACACCCTTTGGTGAGCCCACCACAAGCCACTTAAGCTGGTGCGTATTATGTGTGAACACGTGGCCGAATGTGCATGTTTCTTCATTTTCTTACGTCTTGTTGTCTCATTCTTTGACAGTCTTCTTGTACATTCAAATGACAAACCACTCGATCACTACGAAACAAATAACTTGGCAGAGATATCAGAAGTTGATTTCCACTTACAAATTAAAGGGATATCTATGATTAGGGCGTACTATTCTTGTTACATGAGCTCTATATATATATATATATATATATAATATTGTGAATGAGAAATTGCCACGTGGAACCTTCACTTTCTCTACAAGTGAACATCCAAATTACGTGCCTTGATGGAAGAGTGGTAAAACCGAATCAGGAATCTCAAAGTTAAGCGAATCCAAATGCTTGTGGACAAACTGTCCTGGTAAGAATTTGATTGATGAATGCATCAGAACCACTCAAATATGTGTACTGTCCATCTCAAAGTTGAGTAAAAGCCAATTCTATAAGTCAAATACTAGTGGACAATATGTATCTCACCTAATACATTAATAAGTAGTGAAAAGTTCATTTCCATTCTGATCAGATGAGTCAGGTCTCGTTATGAACAAGAAATCAATAGGAAGTGAAGCGTGATACATTGATACTGGAAGTTAGAACAGAAATATTATGAAGCTAATGATAACCAAAAACAAACAAAACAAAGGACAGACGAACCCGCAGATAGAGAACTACTTGAATATGATGATAGACCTTAATTAGTTTCTGCTTAATTTACACAGTTATGCTTTCTTTCCTCTCCTGTTGTTCCATTGTATCGCAGAGGGAAATTCCTTTGGTTTCAGTCAAGAATAGAACGGAAAATGCACTGCTTAATATAGTGACCCCAAATATACCATAAGAGAAAAGGTCGTTTTTTCTTCCTTCAGATATAAAAAATGGGCTGAATATATCACCAAATACTATGGCCTGCCTTGCCATTGATGATGTTGTGTTCCTCACACTTGTGGGAAACAGCTCTATAACGTATATGAGAAGGACATTGAAAGCTGAACAGACACTGAAGAATGAAACTAAAGCAAGGCATAGTTTCACTATTTGCAGCTCATTTCCTATGACAGCACAAATTAGACAACAGATCCCGCATGCTACAGAGAAGCCAAGAATTGAAGGCTTTCTTCTACAATTATCCAAGAAATAGGTGGCTATAAAAGCTGGTATTTCCTGTAAGGCATTGAAGACAACACTCAAGTATATGTTGAAGCCCAAGTTCCCCACGTTTAAAGGAATGCCAAAATACACCATTCCAATTCCAAATCCAAGAACCATGACTGCTAATAGTCGTTTAAGTGCCCAACTTGTCACAAATAGCTCGTTAATTGATGAATAGAAGTTGATAGTTGAAGCGCTTTTTTTAGCAGGCAATTTTATCAGTCTTGATGTTGAAGTTCCACCACCCTTTGCTAAAGTAGTAGCGATTCCTTTGAGTATAGCCATGGCTTCTTTCTCTCGACCTTGCATGAGAAGCCATCTGGGAGACTCGGTGACAAAAATATAAGCGATGATACAGTAGAAAATTCCAGGAATTGATGTCCACAGGTAAAGAGACTTCCATGAGGAATCTCTGTTAACATAAGCTATACCAGGCAGTGACAGAAATCCTAAGGTAAACCAAATATACATAAGCACTGCCACTCGGAACCGCCACTCTTTACGCACTTTCTCAGTCAGCAAAACCAGAGAACAAGCTCCGATGGATGAGCGGCAAAACCCAATCAGAAACTTGAAAGCTGAGTAAACCCAGATACTGGTGGAGAAGACAGTGATGGATGAAGCAATTGACATAGTCAAACAGGAGAGAAATAGCATGTTCTTCCTGCCAAGAGATGAATCGGCAAAGGCGGCGAGAAGAAACCCAGCAAGAAAGCACCCCACGAAGAAGGAAGATTGGGGTAAGCCAGTGATGAAAGAACTGGCACATTCAAGGCTCCACTGTGATATGATTGTCTTAGAGGAGATCTCATCCCAAGCCCAAGAAGATCTTGGAAGCTTGCAGATATCAGAATCTGAGCTGCATGAGGTGAGATTTGAGGTAGTACAGTGCCATCTTGGGTGAGCATCGGTGTAGATAGTGATGAATGATTGTTGTGCATCGAAGAACATGGCCATGGAGACAAGGAGAGACTGAAGAATTTGAGTCCACCCAAAGTTTCCGAGACTCTGTTCTATCATATCATCCAAAGATGGCGGGGAAGCTTCAGTCCCTTGTGAATGAAATTGTGTTAAACTCTGGATTGGCTCTGCCATTTTTGTTGAGTTTTCTTTTTCCGATCTTGAGAATGTGATGGCTTTATAGTGCGATAGTGGAGAATTTTGGAGTGTTATTTATTTGTTGGGAAAATCACATGCAGATCACAAACAAACAAAATAAATGCAAAAAGTTTTATAACATTACAAAATCACCCCACGTCCTTTGCAGAAATTATTAATCACGTCTTGGTAGTTGTTAATTATCAGTTGGACTCAGCAACGGTTTCGAGAGAACATATATAAGTGTGACAATATGTTATAATCCAAAATTTTAATGCATTAAATTTATAGTTTTTTTTTCCTTTTCCCCGCCTTAAAAATACAGTTTTCTTTTTATTTTTATACCTCTTCTCCAATCCAACTTCATTCTAGTGGTACTTTTTTCTTGTAAGAAGTTAAGTTAACTTACACTTGACATCCCAACAATCTCATACTCATCACACAAAAATTAATGGCAGCACAAATATGCTCCCTTTTTTGTCCACACTTTGAAAATGCCAACTTGCTACAATAGCTCAACACAATAATACTTGTGGGCTTTCAAGACATTTCTCATCATCTTCTGTCATGAGTTCTAGATTATAAAATCTCATAAATAGTATAGAGTTTATAAGTTTAAAAAATTCTTCCATTTAATAAATTAGTTTTTTGTAATGAGTTTTCCATTTAGGCTTATGCTTGTTACATTAGTGCTTTTATTAAGAGGCTAGTGTCAAGGAAAGAACTACCCACAGAAGGTTCTAACTGGCAAGAGATTGAGTGAATTGTCATGGAGCGAAGCCTATAGTTTTTTTTTTTTAAGATGGGATTTCCCCTTGGGTTTATGCTCATCACATCTTCACAGTTGTTGGATGAGGAGGCATCTTACAAGGGAGGAGAATATAGCTAAGCCACCCAATGATCTCAAGAGAATACATATATAAATGAATATGATACCACATTTTAACCTAAAATTTTAAGAACTTCAATTTATAGGATTTTTACTACTTATTACCTCTTCTTCAATCTAACTCTATTTGATGAGACTTGTTTTCTAATATTAAATCAAGTCAAGTCAACTCACACTGAATATCTTCACAGTTAACACACTATAGCTAAGAGGGTAGCTACAACTTCAATAAAGGACACTTTAGAGTAATTTTGACTTTATAGAAATTTTTTATTTACATTTTTTCTATGGATCCTTTGGGTGATTTCCCCATTTTTTGCATGCGGTTAGCGGGTGTGTAAAAAGTTTATTTAAAAACAGTCTCATGCAATCCAATATCATCCATAAGTCACAATCCCTCGTGAGAAACTTTTGGCTTTGGCGGAACGTTATCAGAAACTTTAGGAAGCCAGTGAGAGATTGCAGGAACCCCACATGTGCTAGAATTTTATTAGCCACAGCTGCACACATCTCCATTCAATGTCATTTGTCTCACTCAAACATTTAAAACATAACATGACCAGACTCCTTGGCTTTTATGAATATTACAAGAACAAATGCTTTATTTATCTTTTTAAAATAAATGAGTTTTCAATTTTCCCCCTACATTTTTATCCATATAATCCCAACAAATAAATGAACATAAACAAATTTGTATTTAATTGTCATTAGTCATATGAATATTTTTTATTTATCTTATTTATCCTTTTAAAATAAATGAGCTTTCAATTTTCTCTACACTTTTATTTATATAATACTAATAAACAAATCATACATTCAAAATTTTAGTGTAATAATTCGATCAAAAATAAGAGAACATTAATAGTTTTAAATTGGATAAAAAATTTTATTAATAAAATAAGAGTAAAATGATTGCTATGTTGTTTCAAAATTGACTGGGGATCTAATACTTCAACAACCCCCTTACCACTCAAGCGTCTTGAGACTTCCTTGCTCATGGAGATATGCTTATCAGTTTCGTATCTATTACCATTAGCTATTTTGCACTTACAAACTATCGTGTAGCTACTGTATTGGTGTCTTCAAATGGGATCATGCTTATTAATTGCTATGCAGCCAACATTCAAGCAGTTGACCTTGAGGACAAGGTCAAATTCAGGGAGAAGGGAATGTCATGGTACGAATCTTGAGTGGAATGGGCCTAGTAGAAGTATGGGCTGGAGATATAATTAGTGGGCCGACAATTAGGTCAAGCCCTTTTGAAGGTGAGAGAAATGGAGGTTACAAAATGAGAAGAGACTTAATCAAGGGTGTCGAGAATTTTGGTGAAATAAGTCCGTCCTAGAATTTCTGTCTGGCCTTCGTCTCTGGAGGATCTTCTTCTTCCTTCTGATTCTGTCCTTCTCTATCTATATTTCATTTATGTTTCTACTTTTGTTCTTCCTTTTATGGAACTTTGTGGCTGTTTTTCTTCATTGTTTCTTTCTATTGTAATGCTGCACGAGTGGAATATTGAACTTTAGAGCAATGTAATAATTTCAGTAGTCAGTAAAATATCATTTGTGGCCATCAAGTTTATATATGACCATGACAAGAGGTTTCTCCACGAGGAGTTTCGGTTTAAGTAAGCCATGGCAGGGAGCGAGAAGAAGCCAAAACAGAAGCACAAGAATCCCATTACACCCACCTGGCCACGCCAGCGCTTTCCAGCGAGCTCGGTGGCGAGGACGAGCGCGGAGGTACTTCTGGTGCCTCTGCCTAAACCAGAGAGAAACTAGAGACAAGAATAGACCCAAAGGTTTGGAGAAAAGGCGGCGAGGAAAGAAGAGAGAGACATCAAGAGAGAAGAATAGATAAGCATGTTCTTGCGGCCCAAGGACGTATCATCGAGTGTGGATAGGCCACAAGCTCGCAGACAAGGCGGGACAAAGAAGGAGGAGGCGACGAGGCCCGTAAGTACGGGGTCCTCAGGATTTGGGTCCCACTCCGAGATGATGGAGGAGTACGAGCCCCCGTTGGGGTGGGGGAGGACGGCGGAGGTTGGGCGTCGATGAGGCAAGAGAAGGAGACGAGAAGGGCTTGGATGGAGGGATTGAATTCTGCTAAGCGAAGTTCGATTGTGGAGCCGAGAGATGGAAGGTGTTTCTCAGGCATTGAATGTTCGGATTCATCGGTGGATTTGGAATGGGAGAGAGAAGAGTTGTGGAATGTTTGATTCGAGGAACATGAGTTCTGATATGAGATGTGTCGAGAAGGATTGTTTATATATGCATTTTTTCAATGAATGGGAGTAAAGATTCACTTTTTAGCTTAAAAAAAAAACATGAAGCTAATGAATGGCAGCAAGAATTCACTTTTTTGTTTTTTTTTTTCTTATAGAGAATTTGAAATTTTAATAGTGCAATACTTTAGCTAATCTAATATACTTCATATATTTTTATCTACAGAAAATAAATAAATGTTAATATATTAATAATATTAATATTAAGAGTTTGTTATCAAAAATAGTGTATAAATAATTTAATTAAAAACAAACACCTTTAAAAAAATAAAAGCCTAGCCTAATGGGTCATCTATTTGAATCTGTTTTTATAAAAGCTTGAGTTTGAAAAAAAAAACTATTTTTTAAGAAAATAAGACTTTAAAACTTGAACCTAATAAACTTTGAAAAAAGAGCTTAGGCTCATGCTTGGATTTCGCGGCCCTTTTAAGTTTGTTTTATTTTCACTCTTAAAAACTATAATGTTTTTGAATTTTTAAATTAAAATTGAAATTTAAAATATATGTTTATAATTTAATGTGAGAGCTTCTATTATTTTTTTAATTTTTTAATATTATAAATTATATTTTAAAAAAAATATAAAACATTGTAATTAAAAATTTTAATTTCCAAAAATTTAAAATAAAATAAAATAAAAGCGGACCTAACCCTAAGTCTTTCAAGTTTCAAATAAAGGCCAAGTTTTAAAAAATGATAAATTTTAAAATAATCAAGTTTATAAACTTGGACCTATAAAGATTAAACCTGCCCTTTTCTCATATCTAACCTTAAATATATAAGTTTTTCTCATTTGCATATAATTTATGTGGGTATCAGTTGGTAACTTCCGGCATTGATAGGCACGGGACTAGGACCATCATGCTCATGCTGATTTGGCTGTCCAAAATTTAATTTGAACGATTTAAATTTAAAATTTTAAACTTATAAATTTTTAAAAATTATTTTTTAAAGTGTCAATTAAGATATTATCTTTATTTTTATTATATATTTATCAAAATAAAAATTTATAAACATTATAAAAGCTTTTAATAAAATTGTTCATTATCATTTTGGACAATACAAATTTAATATAAATAGTATAAATTTAATATTAATTTCTTTAATTTTTACAAATTGATTTTCTAATCAAGTTTAATGTTAAGAAATTTTATAATTTTTATTTTGATAATTGCAATATCAAAAACAAAGATAAATTTCTAACTAACATTTTAAAAAACAATATTTAAAAAAAATTACAAATGAAAAGTTTTAAATCTCAACTACCCAAATTTAATAGCTTGGATGGCCTAGATCTCATCAAAGGTGATGAACAAACATTGAAGCTGGTCCCACCAAATCCATATAATTTAAGTCTTAGAGTAATATAAAATGTGATCATAACCCAAAAAAAAAAAACTTAACTATATGGGTTCTTTGGCTAACAAGGCTTCTTAATTATAAATTATTTTGGTCTATTTACAAAAAAAAAAATGGGAACATTATATTTAAGAACCTTTAATTTATATTGCGTAAAAATTATAGTTGAGATGTTTAATTAAAATGATAAGTATTCTGTCTCATTATATTTGAGAACAAAAATGACAACATTATATTTAAGAACCATTCGTTTTATTTAAATATTAAGTAAAATAATTCAAATGCAAAAAAGTTAAATAAGGAACCACTTTAGTGAAAGGATAAAAGTTTTTGTTTGAAGCATCTAATAATTTCTTGCCTGGGAATATTAGTCTTCTCTAGTAACATCACGAACCCTTTCTTTCATGCATGCTTGCTTCTCTTTCTTTCTTTATTTTCTTTTTGTTTTCAAATGAGTAAATTGCTTCCTTAACTTTTGATTCAGTAGAACCATAGATCATTAACTCATTTGTTGTGCAAAT